CAAGTTCGCTGCTTCAAGTTCATCCTTTCGGCTTTCTTTGCAGAAATCAGATCATGCCCGCTGCCAGAATCAAGGGTGAATCTACGATCTTTGGCTTGCACTGGTAGTGAAATGCACATTATGTTCTTGGACTTCATGAGGGAGTTTCCAACTTCGTGTTCAACAAGCTCTTCAATAAAAGTCAAGTCATCACGATCATTGTCCAGTTTGATCAACATGTCGAACTTGGGGCCAATAATGATTCTAACTTCATCAACAAAACGATGGAGTCCACATCTGTCCATGATGATAGCCTTGGCCCGTGCTCGGACTGAACCGAGGGTGTTGTCGGACTTGGACTGATCGTCGGTCAAATCATCGACTTTCCAGAAAACATATTGCTTGTTGGGGTCACGATACATACGTTTGGGTAGTCCCTCCTGGTAGTCCTCAATGGCGATCTCGTGCACCTCAGGTTCCAGATCAAATGAGATCCTGCGATCATCAGAAGACTTCTTTGCACTGGCTATCCTCGGTGAGGTATAATCCATGGAATCTTCATTGTCGCTATCAAAGAAGGAATCAATGGTAATGGGAGTCGCCTTCTTCTTTGGTGTCTTCTTGCTGGTTCTCTCTGAGGATGCTGAAGGCGATTTATCTGCATGTAGGAATTTACATTTGTTTCCGAACTTGCAGGTACCTTCTTGCCAATTCCAACATACCTTCTTTTTGGGTCCAGCTGAAGATGAACTTCCTCTACCTTTCCCTCTTGATGAATCTCGACTTCCGCTTCTGCCTTTCTTACCTTTCATCTTGGCATCATAGACCTTCTGAGAATGACTGTAAAGACATTTGTCACCTTTGTTGCATCCTCCTTTATTGAAGAAGTAGTTACAGAAAATCTTCTTCTTGTCAACGGGTGAAGATGATCTTCCCTTCCCACCTTTGCCTTTCTTGTTGTTCTTGTCGGCATGGGATTTCGGAGAAGGTGTAGGAAGTACCGATGCAGCTTCACTCTTCGCTTTCGCCTTAGGACGTTTGGGAGGATCACCTGTAGACGATGCAGCCGCTTCATTCTCCTTCTTGGTCTTGACGGGAGCGGCAGGCTTGTCTGCATCTTCTAAGGCAGGTGTCGTCTTGTTAGAGGACAATGACAGTTTCACTGCACGTTCTCTATCTTTCAACAGTCGTTCTTGCTTCCCTCGTGCTATGTATCCCTTGATCATACCAGTTAGGTAAGCATAGGTCTTCTCATGATGCCCTTCATCAAAGGTTTTGTATCGGTTGATATCGAAGGCCATAAGTTTTGAATGTTCAATCTTCCGGAACAATGTGTCACGCAGGGAATTGTTGGAAGGCAGATCATCATGTTTCATATTGTATACGATGTCAAGCCACTTGTTGTAGAAGGCCTCAAGTTGGTCATCTCCATAGTAGTTGAACATATACAAATGATGGGCATTGTAGAGAACTTCAGTGTGGTCAGGTGACTTGAAGCTAATCAATATCATTGCAAATAGTTCTCGTCCCTTGATGAAGTCCCCACTTCTCCCATACAATTGGTTCTTCATGGACATGTCATACTTCACTTGCATGGACTTGTCCCCAGCATTGTCAATGACTTTCCTCAAGGCATTGGAGAGCTTGGCATCAATGGATTGGAATCTCACATCAGGAGCTTTGGCCAGCGCCTCCAAGTCAGGTTGATCTGCAAGACACGGAGCTAACCACGCCTTCCAATCTTCATAGTTTCGATCTCCACTTGCAACGCAAACTTCATGAACGACACTTCCCTTCCAGGATGAAAGTTCAGTGGTCTTAGGCCAGGGTTGGAGGCTGATCTTTTCGGCTTCTCTTAGAGATACAGATGACTTGGATCTATCCCTTTCAAGGTTCTCCAACTCCTTAACATTTGTGTTGTACTCGTTCCTGAGCTTCTCGAAGGCTTCAGCTTCTGCTCGGTATTCCTGCTCTTCATCATTGGCACGATCTTCAGCTTGAGAGAAATTGTTCTTATAGTAATCTTTACGATCTTCCATCTTCTTCAACTCATCTTGAAGATTTCGAACTTCAGCGTTCCTCTCTTGCTTCATCTCGTCCAACTCTGCTTTCAGTTTGGCACACTTCTCTTCACATTCATTCCGAGGCATGGCATTACTGGGGTACCCATGTAATGTAGTCGGTCTATTCATTGATGAAGAAGAATGAGCTTGGTTTTCCAACTTCAGGGCAGCAATGGTGCTCGACATTTCTTCTACCTCAGCGTAACGCTCATTGGCCAATTGATGCATCTCGGTCAAATGGCTTTCAGGAATGGAATAGTCAGTCGCACCTTTGATCACGAGTCTTCTGTCGTTCAACATCTTGATGGACTTACCTGCATCCCTGTGAGCACGCTCAAGAGAGTCCTTTTGGGCTTCAAGTTCAGTATGAAGGCGAGCAATAGCTGTATCCCTGTCATTGAGTTCATTGTGCAAACTGTCAAACAAGGTACTCGTCACATTCGGATTGTTGCTCATGTGATCGATCTTGTTCAGAGCATCTTGATATTTCTTACCAGTTTCATCAAAGTTTCGCTGGAAGACTTTGAGCAGGTCCTCAGTGTCAATGAGTTCAGATCTATTCTGCAAGTACAACTTGTCAACTTCGGCCTTGGATTCTTTCAAGCTGTCACGTTCACGCACGGCTTGCATGTACATCTCGTATAGAGGTCCTCCATGCGGTGATCTGCTCGGTGAAGATCTTCTGGCTTGTTGACAGGAAAGTTCATGATACTGATTCTTCGATTCAGTCAGTTGCTGTTGCATTCGATCTAAAAGACTTTGTTTCATGTGTAGTTCAGAACGTAGTCCCATTATCCTCATGTCCCGCATGCCACCTGATTCAGCTAGAGATTCTTCAGAAACCCTGTTCTCAGAAATCGCTAGTCGAGATTGTAAGTTCTCACTGTGGATCACCTGCAATCGAAGTTGCGATTCTTCCAAAGCTAAGTGATGTTCACATTCTGCATAACGGTCATGTTCAGATCTTATGTTACTACGGAACTCCTTCATGATCTCGTCCCTCTTCATGTCAGCAGCATCTAACTCAGTTTCCAGTCGCCTGACATTCATGGCCATGGTGTGCTTCATCGTCTGGTTCTGATTGGCAACCTCGAGCATCTCGATCTGCAAAGCACATGTTTGGTCATTAGCATAGCCGACTGCTAGAGCTTCTTGCTTGGCATTCATCTCTGCGTTTTCCAGTTCCAGTCTGAGTTGATTGATGTGAGCATTCGCGTCAGTTCCCACATGTACCATAATTGCGTTTGCTTGTCCCATTTGTTCATCGAATTCCGAACGTAGTCGTGAATATTTGAATTCCAAATGAGATGCGGCTTCATTCGACATAGTCTGATACCTTTCCAACTCTTCGATCCTGTAGGTCGCACCTTCATCTTCCTGTTGTGCAGCCTGTAACTCGAAGTTCAGCATCTGGAGTTGTTCGGTCATCGACATCATCTCTTGATGAGTGGTGCTTTCCAGGAAATTAAATTGTTGATAGGCATATGCTGTCGTCTCACTCAATCTTGCCTGAAGTACAGATTCTTCTTCAGTGGCCCTTTCCAGTGATGTTTTGTACTCAGTTAATTCACTTTGATAGGCAGTGAAGATGTCGCTACCACTTGACGGGGCATTCACTTGCTGATAAGATCCTGTCCCTGATGGAGTAGCGTCCTGAATCGGTGAAGGCGGATTCGACGACGTAGTCTTTGCCTTAGTCCTTGGAGTCATCGGAGGCGACAATTGTCGTGCAGATGATCTTCTCTTTCCAGGTGTGCTGTCCCTATCTTCAATTGCTTGCATTGTCGAAATTTGTCTCCCTCTAGGAGCAACCAGATGTCGCCTGGGTTGGCTTGTTCTCAGTTCTGAGGCATCGCTTCCACCAGTGTCGATACTCTGTGAAGAATTTGACTGCGTGCCGGCAGCTGGTGCAACGGCATGTCCAGAGAAAGAAAATGCATTATCGCTGCTATCCTGTTCAGTCATCTGTAAGGCCCGTGGCTCCCCGCTCGTAGGCTCCGTAGGAGTCCTACGGCTGATAACCTGCGAATCGGGGATTGCCTACCCGATTATGTTCCAATGGTTGATGTTGAGAATAAAATGTTCCAGTTCGACGACGTCACACGGGCAGCTGCTTCCGCATTGCTGATCTTTTCTCCAGTGCTGCAGTGGGTCTTGAGCCAAGGAGGCCAGTTCGGATTGCCCCTTTGGTGCTGGATCACAGAGTGTTTAGTTGTGATATTATACTTGATCCGTAGCCTACACTCTATTCGCAGTATGTGTATGTGTATATATATATATATACACATATTACTATATATATATTACTAATCATAATAAAAATACTTAATTATAATCATTAATAGTAGTACTGACACTAACAGTAATCAGTAATCAGTAATAATACATATAAATTTAATATGTATATAATATATATATATATAATAGGTATTATCTTCATGTATACATACTACAGTGCCGACTTGGTCTGTTGGGCCGTGCCACATGCGGGAAACGAATAGTATGCAACTGAGGGCAAAGCCACTGAGGGCAAAGCCACTGAGGGCAAAGCCACTGTCAATGGCAGAAAAGTGTGAAACCACGCATTTACAAATCTTCGAACCGCCGTCAGGAGACAAACATGGCAGGTTTGAAGACCGCATGTTTCCAAAACTAAAGTTCAAGGTTTAAAGAATGAGCAGCGTCAAAGCCAGTCGTTTGAACTGAAACCCAAGACCTGTAGACCCAACCCAAGCTTTTGAAAACTCTCATTCTGGCAACAGGAAAGACTAGCAACCTCTTTTGCAAGAGCAAGGGCAGGATGTCCAACATGCACTGGTGCAAATGGAGTTCGTCATGTCTACAGCAAAAAGAAGTGAAATTTACATGAGGTTTGGTCCAATGGTTGGCCTATCTCGGTCCTTTATTGATGGAATGCTGAAATGCCACGAGCAATTCAGCAAAGTGTCAAGGTGCTTCTTTTTTGATTTGAGCCATTGTTCTCCGCTTTTCGGAGTGCGAACAACTTTGTTTGTTCCCATTTCGGGATGTTGTCCAGTGATGTCCAGTGACTATACAGAGGATACAGAGCATCTTGCAATTGCAAGGGTCTGAGATTTTTTTGCAATGAATTTGCCAGCTTTCTCTGAGCCTGCGTTTCTCTTCTGCATCAAACAAGGGAGGCCCGGACCTGTCGGCTTCTGGTTGACCACACCTTGGCAGTTTCTACAGCTGCACCAAAGGAGCCTGCAAAAATGCCAACTGTCCGTACAAGCCGAATGCAGTCTATATTTCTTTTATCTTTGATGCATGTTTCCATCGCTTCATTGTGACTTGATGTTTTGGATCCTGACACCTTGCTGCTTCCGCCGTTTCTCTAGAAGAGCTGCTGCATCCTGGCATTTCAAAAATTCTAGTTTCACCACTTGCACGCTGTGCACAAGCAACCACTCGGATACGCAGCCCTCCTGTCCTCCCCCTGTAGCCCTCCCGTCCTTCCCTACGAGTTTGTCCGACATCAGCGGGATCGGAGGTACGTGAATGATGGGCTGGCAACGAGTCACACAAAGCTGCTGCATCGGCCAAGAGAAAAAGTCCGCATATCTACACATACCTGCACGACATTTGTTGCAGCTAAGCATTATTCCTGTGGTTTGCAAAGGCAGAGGGGACTCAATGACTAATCAACCCAGCTCTGCAACCCAACAGCCAGGTTCCAGGATTCCAGGGTTCTGTTCCGGTTTTCAGGGCCTACAAAAACACTGTGCGATTAAAACCCAAGGTCACTGCTGTTGGGAAATAGTCGCTTTAGTCTGTCAGGCCTGGAGATTGTCCTTTGTTGGGTGAAGCATCAGCCCAACAAAATCCAGCTCCCAACATAGACGAAACCCGCTGAGGTGGACACAAATGACGAACGAAGATATAAATTTTCTGCCAAGGTGTACACTGGTCTCTGTGTCTGTGTCTTTACCAGTGTCCGTGTGCGCGTGCATGCGTCACCAATCCTGAAGCACACAGTTTTCGACAAATGCTTTGTTGCAGCAGCAGCAGCAGCGGCAGCAGCGGCAACAGTGGGGCATGGCAACTAACTTAGCGGCTCTACCCGTGCCAAAGAATCTATGGGATCCAGCCAGAAGGGAGCAATGCAGTCCCCTAGCAATTTAAAATGCATCTGGACAAATGCGTATCTAATTGAACTGTTTGATCTCTGCTCTAAGTCGTTTGACATGACAGGTGGTTCAAAACGGCATGGCTTTTCAATCCTAGTGCTGCGGGAAACACTTGTCCTGCAACGGATCTGTCCAAAGCATGTGTGTGTGTATGCGAATGCAATGGACGGGTGGGTGAACATGTGCATTCGTGAGTCACAGAAGCAAAACCTGCACTTTATCTAGGCCTGCACAGCGCTTGGCTAGCCAGGCAACCAAGCGGGATACAGGAATTAATTGTTCATGCGTATGTGATTGTATGTGTAAATATTTGCATGTGTTTATGTCTGATTCAAAATTATGTTGTTTGCGATTTGCAAACACATGATTTCCATTGTCGTCCTTGTCGAGTCCACTACTTGTCAAAGAGTGTGCAGGTCGTTCACATCATGCATATTCTTGAGACTCTCATTCTCCAACGGTCCATCAAGCAACAAAGCTCTGATGAATCAAACTGCCAGCGGTTTCCAAATAGGCAAACAAGCCAATGTACTGGAGGAACAGGTCTTCCATTAATGACCTCATACATGCTGCCATACTAATGCAAAAACCCACCAAATCTCCAAGGGGTCTGAAAATCACAAGTGCAACGATGCTGGACGGAAGCATCTTATGTAGAATTCTTTAGTAGTGCCACTTCACAAGTCCCGCCCTTGCACATATCAATATGTCGAATCCGTACCTTTTATGGGTCGAAATTTATGTAAATGCTGAGCTACTTCTTGCTCAGAGAGCTCCCTGAGCTACCAGCACCCTTGGAGAAATCATCCCACCAAGCTGCCTGCGCGATGCAAAACTATGTGGATAGAAATGTTCAAAAAAGGCAATGCCAGTAATACATAGTAATACAGCATATAAGTCCCCAAAACAACATCTGCACCAGGTGTCTTGTGGATCTTGCTTGTTCGCAGTTGTGCTGTCTTTGTCTCTGTCTAAACTTTCCCCTTGGCGCGGATTTTGGCCTCGTACAACTTTAACCCGGCTTGGTCTTGCACATCTTGCTGTCATTTCGATGGTTGTTTCCGTCTTTCTTGTTGTGTTTGCCATCCGTTTGCTCCGTCGCTTCTTATATCCAATACTTGATCCACTGGTTTTTGTGCCAAACGCCTTTTGACACGCCACATCACCTTTCTATGTATGGCCTTTTCCAAAACTCTGGTTTACAGAAACCATATTTGTGCATCAAAACCGTCTTGCGCTGTTTTGCATAAAAACCGTTTTGTACACAAACACCGTGTTTTACACAAAAACAATGTTCTTGCTGGGCCTGTGCAAGCGCTGTTTGCGGCTTGCAGGATAGCTCTTTCCGTGGTGGCCGGCGGAACACGCCGAAGGCGGTTAAATACAAGCTTTAAATCGGGCAAAGCGCAAAGGTGCTCAGCAGCAAACAAAGCTCAATTGCCAAAGCAGCTCAATTGAGGAAGTCTCGCCTGACAGTGTGCTGGATGCTCGGACGCCACACAGACAACTGGTAGGTGCCGCTCGTGCAGCTTTGAGGCCTGAAAGATCTGAAAGGCCGGAAGTGCGAGAAATGGATGCATCAAAGGGAGCACCAACGGGAACGTCAACGCGAACGTCAACGCGAGCGTCAACATGCCTCATGGATGAGTCCAGCAAAATGTAGCCTGCGAGGGCATGCTGCCCATTCTGCACGTTGTTTAAGAAATTTCTATGTTTTCTGTGCAATGCCTTGGGTGGAGAAATCCGCCCATGTTGACAGCAAATGGTGGCCTGCAAGGGATTTCTCTGAAATGCTTCCTCAATGATTTCTCAAACAATGCACTATATATATATATGTCACTATATGGTCCTCCTGACCCCACTGGGACCCCAGCATCACTATTGCATCTGCTCCATGAGCACATGCCCAGGCAAAGACCCGATCCAAAGTGGATGACACCAGATTTCTTTCCCTCAGTCGGACTCAATCAGACTCTGTCTCTGCATTTCTGCCAATTTGGCATTGCTTGAGTGCGTGAAACCACAACATCAGCACTCTACACAATCGCACTTAAGATTGCAAACGGTCAATTCACCACACATGGCAAATCCGTGTCTCCTCCTACAATTTCCCAATGCAAACAGCTCCTGGATTATGATACCTGCAACGAAAAAACAGACATTCTAGAGATTGGTTTCAATCAGTCCAAAAATTGTGCGATACTGTAAATCCTCGTAAGAAGAGTCTGGAAGCAGAAGCAACGCTTTTGTTGTGGGCAGCAAAATGTACAGATACCAATGCGCGAGCCAGAGTAGTCTACACAGTGATGACTTCCCTTCGTTTGGATCACTAAAGAAGTCCTGAGACACTAAGTACTACACTCAGGATCCGAGTAGATTTCCTTGGGTGCAAAACGTTCCAGAGCAAGCAGTTCAAGGAACAAACAAAAGATGAAAGAAATACTATAACAAATGGAACAATTAATTGCAAGATATTGCAAGCATGAGCACCTGCTCACCATGGTGAGGATGCAAAGGCAGTCCAAACCTAAACGTGACGACACGTGGCCCCGGGAGTCTCTTTTTGCAATCAGTGGACAAGACTTTCGGATGAATGTCAAGTGAGGCTGGAACCACGCCACATCCACTTGCGGTGGCTGTTCAACCCAGGGCCTTGGTTGCTTGCCACACGGAATGCAAACAGCGATTTGAAATTTGATCAAAGACTCAAATTCTCATTCTATTCATTCAAGCAAAAGGAAAGTCCATGGGTCCGTGGTCAGTTACCAATGAGCCTTGGGTTAACTTTAGCCGCAAGAGTTTATAAGGGGATGTGAGGCGGAGGCCCCTGTGTTACAAATATGCACGGACTATCACCGATAATTTGTCCACGACCCGCAGGAAGTGCCCAAGACCACTTCTATCACCACTACATCACTATGTAGACGCGGTAAGTAACAACTATATATGTTGATGCAGGATGATGCACGCATCTAGGCATCTTCACATGTCGGCATCATATGGACTTTGCAAATCAAAAGTACCAGTAGGTTTTTTTTATTTATCTCGCGCTCATGAAAAGTCGAGACAGGCGAAGACACTTATTTTTTAAGAAAACCGGACTTTCCTCGAAGTACCAGATTCCAAAATAATTTTCCTGGGCAAAAGAATACTAGCATGTCCATTTGGAATCGCAAGCCAATACAATATACATTCCACTATATATCCTCGTGAAATATTTCATACCTCAAATACCAGTGAGCAAAACAGAATGTAGGGCGAGATACTTGTTGGTGCATCATTTGAAGGAGGGATGCAAAATATGGGAATATTCCACTGTCTTTTTGCAACCTTGCACTTCGGAAAATGATGCCTTCTCATGCCAATGCTGCAAGTTTTTTTGGCAATACATGTTTTCCAAATAACAGAATACTGCGTTTTGCAATGAGATTGTGTTTTTTTTCAAGTTCGTCAAAGCCAGCGATGCGTTTGCCTCTTAAAGGTTGTGTTGCCCCTCTATAAGATATACGATGGCGCTTTTGCCAAAGAATTACATAGGTTTTTTTCCTGATGCGTAACAAGGGTTCCCGTTTCACTCTGGGGGTCTGGGGGTTGAGGGTGTGTTCGACGTTGCTCAACCGTTCGCAACCGTCCGAGGTCGCTATGGCCGTGCCTATAGCAAGTTCTGCAACAGGGGTCTTTGGAGGTTTCACATGTCGCGTAGCTTCGTTTCGCGTGGCAGGTGTGGCACTTCGTGACATTCAGACGTGTTTCGTAACGTGTCGAAGGCCGTTGTGCGTGGCAGGCGCAATACTTTTGCGACGTCTTCCATCGATGAGTTCTAATTTTCGTGGCAGGCGCAGCACTTTGGACGTGACCGTCTTTATTTTGCGTGGCAAACGCAGCACTTTAGAGGAGTCGTGTTGCGTGTTTTTTGCGAATCGCATTGTCAGGGCTACCTCACGTGGTGACAACGTGCAAATTCCGTGGCAGGCGTGGCATTTTGTGAGATGTGCTGAAAATTGACAGAAGCCTCGCACAAAACATCGATTTTGAGGTAGCAAATTTTGATGTTCACAAGAAAACTCGTAGGAAAACGTTGATTCTGAAGCTACAAAGTGGGAAAATTGGAGGATGTCTCGCACGAAATGTTCGTTCTGATGCTCCAACATGTCTCGTCTCGAGTCTCTGGTTTTCCTGTGGCCTCGCCGTGTCTATGAGGGAAGCTGCAAAACCTATCCTTTTTCAAGGTTTCAAAGCCAGTTGTAACGTGGTTTTGCTTGACAGGCGCAGCACTTTGTGACATTCTCATATGTCTGCAAACGTATCGAAAGGCATTTTGTGTGGCAAGCACGATACTTTCGCGTACTCTACACTCTACACTCCCGCACTACACTCCACACTCCACACACCACACTCACCACTTTACATTTTACACTTTACAGTTTGCACTCCACACTTTACACTTTAAACTCCAAACTCCACACTCTGAACTCCACACTCCACACTTTACACTCCACACACTACACTCTACATTTTACACTCCACACTCTACACTTTACACTCCACACTCTACACTCCTACATTTTACACTCCACAATCTACACTTTACACTCCACACTCCACACTTCACACTCCTCACTCCACACCTTACACTCCACACTTTACATTCCACACTCCACACTCCACACTCTACACTATACACTCTACACTTTACACTCCACACTTTACACTCCACACTTTACACACTACACTTTACACTCCACACTCTACACAGCACACTCTACACTCCACACTCCACACTTTACACTTTACACTCCACACTCTACACTCCTACATTTAACACTCCACACTCTACACTTTACACTTTACATTCCACACTTTACAATCCACTCTACACTCTACACTTTACACTCGACACTTCACACTCTACACTTTACACTTCACACTCCACATTCTACACTTTACACTCTACACTCCATACTTTACACTTTACATTTTACACTCTACACTTCACACTCCACACTCCGCACTTTACACTTTACACTCCACACTTTACACTTTGCACTTTGCACTTTACACTCCTCACTCCACACTTTTCACTCCTCACTCCACACTTTACACTCCACACTCCACACTTTACACTCCACACGTTACACTCAACGCTCTACACTTTACACTCCATACTCTGCACTCTACAGTTTACGCTTCCCACTCTACACTTTACACCACACTCTACACTTTACACTCTACACTTTACACTCCACACTTTACACTCCACACTTTACACTTTACACTCCACCCTCCACACTCCACACTCTACGCTTTACACTCCACACTCCACACTTTACACTCTACACTTTACACTCCAAACTTTACACTCTACACTCCACACTCCACACTTTACACTCTACACTTTGCACTCCACACTTTACACTCCACACTTTACACTCCACACTCTACACTCCGCACTCCACACTTTGTACTTTACACTTTACACTCCACACTCCACCTTTGCACACTTTACACTCCACACTCTACACTACACTCCACCCTCCACACTCCACACTCCACACTCTACGCTTTGCACTCCACACTCCACACTTTACACTTTACACTTTACGCTCCACACTTCACACTTCACATTTTGCACTTCACACTTGACAGTTTACAAGTCACACTTTACACTCCACACTTTACACTTTACACTCCCCACTTCACACTCCACTTTACACTCCACACTTCACACTCCATCCCTTTACACTCCACACTCCATATTTTACACTTTACACTCCACACTCTACACTCCTCACTCCACACTTTACACTCCACACTCCATACTTTACACTCCACACTCCATACTTTTCACTCCACACTCTACACTCCACACTCCACACGCTACACTCCACACTTCACACTCCACCCTTTGCACTCCACACTCTACACTCCACACTCCACACTCTACATTCCACACTCCACACTCTATACTTTACGCTCCCACTCCGCACTCCATACTTTGCACTCCACCCTCTTCCACATTCCACAGGTTCTGGTACAGACTGTTCAAATACTTGTTTCACAAAAGTGTTCTACGTAACTGCATTCGGGTTTGTGGGCAGCATCTTGCTAGGCTTTGTTTGAGACATGACAATAGCGAATTACATGTCCAGATACATGTCTATGAGTGCTGCGATTCAAAAAATTTCTGAAAATAATTGTTTGACGTTGCAGCCATACAAGTTCACTTCACTCCTCAGGGAGAATCCACAGCTAAATAATACAATTAGGTCACGTTCCTGCACATCCAGTAAGGCAAAGCACAGAATGGAAAGAAAAGTAAAATCCGCAAGACTCTCAGGGATCCGGTGACAAAGGCCAGAAGTGTAATATATAGATTATGAAAGTCTGATGGAGGCTGGAGAGCACATGGTTTTGAACAAATTGCTGGAAATAATCAGTGATTCTTTGCTGACCTCGTTTTCCGACGTTGCAGCATTTCTGTTCGGTTTTAGATTGAGGGATGCCAAGCCCCTCTCTACTGCCAAACAAACGTCTCCGATGGTGATGAACATGTCGCTGCAAAAACAGTGTTGTGCTGAGTCAATTGTTCCATAGCATTTCATACATGTTTTGGTTGTCCAAGCGTTTGGAGGTAAAGAAAGAAAGCACAAGGTCCAGAAAAACACAAGACTCAAGATCCACAGATAGACAGACAGCCAGGCAGACAGGTAGGCAGACAGGCAGGCAGGAAGGTAGGTGGATAGATGGATAAATGGATATATGGATATATAGCTGGATAGCTAGATAGCCATATATATATATAGATAAACAAACAAATAGATTGATATGTAACGTTCATTCATGTCAACTTGAACACGCATGAAACCCTATGCTGTCCACTGGAGGTGTGGGGATGAGGCGGGGTGGGCTATCAAAGTTCATGCTACCTTGCACAAACTCGACGCGGCGTTCTAGGATCTTCTCTTGCATTTGCGCACACACTTGATGCTACCCTCTAGGGTCTTCCTTTGCCCTTGCACACAGACTTGATACTACCCTCTAGGATCTTCTCTTGCACTTGCAGACACACTTGCTCAGAAATATCTTATCGAATTACTGATGTGGAATGCATCGCACGTGCACAAACATTTCAGTTAAACCTGACAGGAGAAAGTGAATGACTAGGCGTGAGAAACAGTGAAGAAGAATTCTTTCTACGTCCTTGATAGATGCAACTGTTCCATCTGACGGAGTCAGCAGTAATTCAGATTGCGAAAACCGTACAGTGATTTGGTTCGAAAAAAGTTGGAAAAACGACATGCCGGTACTTGGCTTAGCCGGTTGCCATGGACGAGAAAATAAAATGGTGTTGCAGGTACGTCACCAGGCGTCCCTGGTGATATCCTAGGATCATATGAGGAGCTTCGTTGGATGGAGCCTCATATGTCCTCTCCATCCCCCTGCTGTGACAGTTTGATAACAAATATCAAAACGAAATTCTCAAAAAACTGAACAAGCGAGTTAGAAGTTTTACATCTTTTCAGATGTTCCACGCACACACACACACACACTTGATGCTACATTCTAGGAACTTCTCTGGAGCAGCTTTACTGGTACAACTCTCTAGTCTTTGTCCAGAACATCCGCATCCCAAACACTTGCGAACCATGTGGGACAAGTAAAAAACTTTGAGAACAGCGATGTGAAAGATTGATGACCTGCAAACCATGAACATTGTTGCACTGTATGGATCAGGATGACATGCCGAACAGAGATGAAACATCAATTGCCTGAATGCGAAAGTTAGCTTCGGCCGCTCTGAATTGTGTCTCTTAAACAAGGACAATCTATATTTGCCTTGAACCATGTGTTGAATTGAAGATACCGCAACATGAAACTGCTTTCGATTCACAAATCCAAATGCGTGCCAACGTTGTTCTGCAGAAATGAAAAAATACTTTGTCTTCTCCTTGAAACAATTTTGCGGTGGTTTCTGTGTGCACCCTAATAGCTAATCGCTAGAGTAGCTAAGATAGCTAAATGGCTAAGATGCCTGAAGTAGCTAAGATAGCTAAAATAACTAAAATAGACACAGACTTAAATGGCTAAGGTACCTAAACAGATAAAATAGCTAAAGTCCTATCATAGCTAAACTAGCTAACATTGTTTAATTTCGCCAGCATAGACCCCAGATAGTAAAGGATATTTTTTGGTGGCAAACAAGCGGCGCTCGCCTTTTTTGCTACGGCAAAAATGTAATCTCCATCAGGGCCCAACGCCAACACTGCCATTGACATCTCGCAGCCAACCCCTGCCGCGACACCAGCACCCAAGCTTCATAGCACACACCGCGCTCTCCCAAGTTCCTGAGATGCAGACAGCCCTTCGACAGTAGTATCCTGCACCCGCACCCTGCAAGGCACCGTCCAGCGGCACCGGCGGGCCGCACACGCAACTCTAAAAGCAGCACCCTGAAGCAGCACCCTGCAGCGGCAGCCTGCAGCGGCACCCTGCAGCGGCACCCTGCAGCGGCACCCTGCAGCGGCACCCTGGAGCGGCACCTGCAGCCAGCGCCGCCAAAGCGCAGCAACTTGCAGCAGCCACCTGCACCGGGACCAACATGCCAACACCAAAGCGCACACCACTTGAACAGCAGCACCCTCCAGCGGCACCGGCATGCCCGCTCCAAAACGCAGACATGCAACTCCTCCTACACTTGAAGTAAGAACCCCAATAGCTTTGCTATCTGGGGGAAAACACACACCACTCTGACAGCAATGCCTTCAAGCACACCAACATGCCCGCTCCAAAACGCAGACATGCAACTCCTCTTGAAGTAAGAACCCCAATAGCTTTGCTATTTGACGAAATAGCTAAAGTAGCTAAAATGGTTAAGATAGCTAAAATAGCTAGGAGCAGTAAAATAGGTAAAATAGTTGGAGTAACAAAAACAACTAAAATAGCTAAACTAGCTAAAAATAACCAAAATTGCTAAAGTAGCTTGCCTTGTCTTCTCTAGCCTTTCCTCGCTTAGCTTACCTTACACTCGCTTAGAGCTTAGGTTGCCTTACCCTAGCTTGGCTAAGCTTAGCATAAATGATGCTGTGTTTAATATAATCATTTCATGTGCATACATATAATTACATATACATATTAATAGAATAAGGTTGTTATACTGTAAGTAGCTTAGGTAGAGAAGCAGAAGGGTAGGTAAATTGACAAATAAACAGGCAGGCAGGCAGGCAGGCCAGTGTGTAAAGTTGATTTGCTGCTGAGGAATGCACGCTCCATCTTGAAAGGAACCACGTAAAATTCCGATGCCAGAGGAGTAAATAATGCCGCCCTGTGCAAAACAAACCACTTGTGGATAGATTCAAGGTGATCAAGGTGAATGGTTGTGCATAAATTAGTAGTCACAACCCTGACTGGTGTACAAGGTAGAGGAGAAGAGGATGACAAACACACTGTGATGGCGAATTCGGAGAAAGCCCTTGACAATTCTGATGATTCTGGGTGTTGCTTTGGAATTCTATCGGCAAAATGAGGAAACCAACAGTCCAGATACTTGGATTCGAAAAAAAAAAAACTCAAAAGTGTCATTCTTAAACGTGAAAACATTGATAAGCATTGCAGCAATCCAATGCTTGAAATCTAGCCATGTGGTGCTATGTGTCTACTTTATATAATGGTCCAAGATTTGTGTTCTGGCATTTCACCAAACTAGTCTCTCGCAAAGGTTCAAGGAAAGGCTGGCTCAAATTCCTGCCTCTCTGATGGCATCATTGGCTACTGTTTGGATGTCTTCCTCAATTCGCTCAAAAGCTTCAAAGTAGGTAGTGCGGAAGAAGAGCTGGTCCTGTCAGGCTGGTGAAACATTTTGGAAAAAAGGTGTCGTTAGCTTTGCAGCTGTCAAGTTTGATGAATCAAAAATATACCAAAAATGTGATGGCTATGTTTGACATGGTACATATTTGTAAACTTATTCCTAGATAAAGAATTTGCTCAGGGAAGAATTGCCCTGCGTTCCTGAGCAACCTTCTGCCTCTTGCGTCTTGCTTTGTGGACCTGCAACCATCTCCCGCCTCGTGGATGTTGTGATAAGTCCGACACTCGCTTTTCGGATGCTCCAATGCTGTGCACCTGGCCAGAATAGAAGCACAGTGCTCTTCTCGGATCTTCTTCAAATCTTACACTGCGAAACCAAGGGTCTTTGGAGGTTTACGCGTGGCCATTCCCGAGATCATCACGGAGGCCCGTCATCCCACACCCCGTTACCACCTATGGAATCTTCCTAGGATGCGTGGGACAAGAGTTCGGTGCGTCATGTCCACAAGGTGCTCCGGCATGGCTGTGCGTGTGTGCTGACACCCTCAAACTTCAAACGACTGCAATGCATTCTGACTCCATTTCAGCTTGATCCGGACAGCTCACGCTGCCTGAGCAGAGTAACTCTTCTACCTGCTCGGGCCATCTGAAGTGCAGCATCAACAGGATCGCAACCTAGGCTGCAATGGGCCTTCACATGCTGTCAACGTGACTGCCCCTTGCTCGCTATACTATACTTTCATATTGTACCCCTCTAGATGCATCCCATAAATGTTTGCAGAGTTTAGCATCGGACCACTTTGGCACAGGATGTGTTGTTTCTCGCTCACAGCCTATGCCACCAAGAGCAACTAGAGTGCGCTTGAACCCACCTGACCTTGAGAATCTTGGCACGAAATTGATTCCAGCCATTCTCACCAAGGCTTCTGGTTCCAATTTGAATTTACGCACAAAAATACAATATTTTGCAAATCATGAGGACAGCAAGACAGCAAAGCCGAGTCCTTCAGAGAGCTCTGCAAGGGCATCTTGGTCAGACTGTGAAAGCAAGAAATAGGTCTGACAAGATGACGGCAATCGACCTTCCAATGACGCTGCGATGAGTTCCAAAAGCTGCAAGTGTTATTACACTCACGAATCCAAAATTCGATCACAATTCATCTCGAAGAAGTTTTGCCAAGTGATCCGAACCTGCTTCAGGGATGTCTCACAGGTGTAGATTCCCTTCAAACAGGCCTGTGGGAAACACGCAACATCACGCAACTCTATTACAGTAGCAAACTCTCTTTACTCACAAATGGTTTTGAATACTTTTTAGATCTTCCAGCACAATCGCAGTGCGGGAATTTGTGGGTCCTGGGCTGTGCCAAGAAAGATTGCAGCCGCAATCAAGGAATACTTTTCCGGCTCCTAGGCATCTGCCACAAGGGGGAGAGAAGAAAGAAGGCATCGCATGGCCCCCTTCAAGACACAAGGTCTGCCTTTCTTACGCTTGGCTTGGGTCCTGTTTGGCTTCATTCATTTGCGAAATCACCCAAGACATTTTGAGCCTAAGAGATGGAACAGAGCAAGGGTTTGAACAATCATATGCACAGAGTTCATAGGCTCAAAAGCAGACCTTCTTGTCAAAGAGGAAACGCTTAGAACAGGACTGACGAAAGTCATCTGCATCAAGACGAACTGTTTGCGCTGCTTTTTGCAGCCTCGAGCACAGCGATCGCAAATCTTGAAGGCAAAAAAAACACGCATTAAAGCACCTGTTTGGTGGTCTCAACACGGCGAAAACTTAAAGAGCAAAGTCAAAGCATCCAACGTACAGATCTTGGAGCCCAGCTCTTCACACAGTCTCGGTGCCCTCAAGACCTGAAAGTCCGAGTATTACCTTAAGACCGATTGATTAAGACCTCTGAATTTAGTTCAAGTTGATCAATTCAGACATAAACGCAACAAGTCAAAAAAGTCACTGCAATTCCACAAATTGGCACTAAGCGGCCTGTTCTGGGTTCGGACCTTGGTTTCCAGGGTTTATTTCCGAAGACTTTGCATTTTTGCGTCGTTTGAGTGATCTGTCACACGTTCCTCTTTCGGTTTCTTCTGAGCACAAAGGTTTGCACCTTGCCACTCCAAACCGTAGAAAATTCCAGCCACCACCTTATATCCGGACGACATGGCTGCAACAAGTCAGCAGTATATAAACGCTGCAGAATGGACGTTGGTTGGGCAAACCGGGCGGCACAAGCCAAAATACATTGAATATATTCAAACGTAAAGGTACCTGAGAAGAAGGGACGAAAGCCAGGAACTAGTTGGAACGGGGAGACGAGAGTGGAGAGGATGGGAGGGATTTCGGCGGGGGTTGGTGGAGGAGGCGGCAGTGCGAGGCTATATTGAGTGCCGTTTTGGAATCCGTGGGGAGAGGGAAGGAATGTGCAGGAGACTTGACATACTATACTTGACACTCCATATGTGGCATTTTACATTCCACACTGGACTGGTTCGACGTTAGACTTTACAGTCTATACTATAGAATCGACACCCCTACATTTCATACTGTACAAGTTATATTTTACATTCCTGGCTCTTCACTGCACACCTGACACTCCACAGGAACAGGAAACAATGGGATTTTCTAATCTTTCCATCAAGTATGACAATGATGGGGTTCCATAGATTTTGCTGAAGGTAAGCTAAGAGGGAGCCATGCAAAAGTAAGAAACGTTACCAGTACGAGTAGATTCTGCAGATGGTGGATTCATCCAAGTGTGCATCAGGTTCCTCATCTGCTAGCTTCTATTAGTCAGAATCCATGAGGAGACGATGTCTCAGAGTTTCAAAGTTGAGCTATGTATGTAGGTACATACGTACGTACGTACGTACGTACGTAGGTATGTATGCATGCATGCATGCATGTCTGTATGTCTGTATGTATGTATGTATGTCACCGGAAATGCCTGAATAGAGACCAACGAACGCGCATGATGGGCTCTACAAGACCGCAAATCAATTCTCAACACTTTTTATAAAGTGTTTAGAATTCTTAGCATCGTTCAAGACCGACAAAAAGCGTAATGAGTTGCCCGAAGAGGAAATGGAGATCACTTTTGGGTATGTATAACCTCCGAGAAATTAAACATGATCCACTACAGGATGACAACAAATTTATTTATGAGAATCACAATAACAACTTCATTTCGGTATGTTTGTCGGGATCAAAATCTAGTGCCCCCCAAAATATATTGTCATCTTGTAGACATATACATAGATGCATACATATACATATATATATATATATGTAATCTATACACGATATGATACTATGTTGTAAACTGGTGGAATACATCGAATCCCGTCCGGTGGATATCAAATGCTGTCTGGTTGCAAGCCGCAATACTGCAAAACTGTGGGCTACACATGGCTATACACATATGATTGCAAAGCTTTCGGATCAGACACCCTTTTGGCGACCTCAAAATCGGGGCCGGCACTGAAGCCATGCATGCAGTTGGGCTACAAAATACTTATCAACAAAAAAGGAGCGATGGTTCGAGACAGCAATAGTTTGCAAAGCAGCTGCAAAGCCGATGCTGCACTAGTGGACCATGTGAGACTCCGTTCTTGCTTCATTTCCCCCTCCATTCCCGTCGCCCACAATGCACGTTTTTCCGTGCCCCCAATGCACGTCACTGGACGGACCAGGGGGGAATCGAACCCCACCGTCACCCAATTGCCACCTGGTACATCAGCCTCAAAATCGACCACGGTGGCCACCCTATTCAGTTGGGGAAGTGCCTCAAAATGGTCCGTTTTGAAGCGACCGCCCCCCTATTCTCACTTCGTTCGCAAAGAGCAACTTCAGCCAAGCTTGACAGCTGGCTTTCGTAAAAAAACCCTCAGGAGGGAGAAGCAGCCCCACAACGAAGAAAAAAATGAACGCAAACACACACAAATTATATACTGTTTGCATCAAAGATGATCGATTCAAACATCGAAGCATGCACTTTACGCACATTTTTCCCCTTGGTCCGAGTTAAGTTTGGATGCCATCGTCATCGTCACCATGAAAAATGGGGCGCAATCACAAAAATATATCAGACCGCCCACAAGCACACTTGGGCAGTGGCACACTTGGACAGTGGCACACTTGGGCACCATCACAAATGTATACTATAAACATAAACAAAAAAACGCACACATAACACTCCCTCGTGTTTGAATGATGAAACCTAGGACATCCAAGCACATCATCGCCATCAACTTCTCCCTGGGCCACACCCAGGAAAACATCAGTGCCGTAAAAGAAAAACGCCAGAACCTCCATCGCAGTTCCGCAAGCTCCAAAATTGCTGCGCAGCATATGGTGAGCTAACCGGCGACACACAAAGTGAGCGTCTCGTGCCACGCCTGCCGCACAAACTGAGCATCGATGTCACCAAGCGCCACGCCTGCCACGCAAAGTGAGCCTCGATGTCACAGAGGCAGCCCAGTGCGGTCAGTGCCACACCTGCCACACAAAGTGAGCGTCAATCTCACCAAGTGTGACGCCTGCCACGCAAAGAGGCCGTCGATGCCCCCAAGTGCCACGCCCGCCACGCAAAGGACGGCGCCCAGTGCCGTAAGTGCCACGCCCGGCACACAAAGTGAGCGTCGATCTCACCAAGTGCCCATCGATGCCACCAAGGGCCACGCTCGCCACCCAAAGGACAGAGGCGTCACAGCGACCAAGCGCGCCACCATGAGCCAGCCCAGTGTCGCAAGCGCCACGCCTGCCACACAAAGTGAGCGTCGATGCCACCAGTGCTACGCCTGCCGTGCAATGGACCATGGCCTCACAGCAACCAAGTGGCCCACCAGAGGCAGCCCACTGGCGTCAGTGCGATGCCACCAAGCCCCACGCCTGCCACGCAAAGGATCATGGCATTACAGCGACCAAGCGCGCCACCAAAGCCCCAGCGCCGTAAGTGCCGGGACGCGGGTCTCTGGCGCGGCGGCTGTTGGCAGGTGCGGCACTTGGTGACTCTCCGTAGATGCTCTGCACGCTGGACGCTCTCTGGACGCAGGACGCCGCGGCTGCCTCATAATCTCTCTGGACGCTGGACGCCATTCTCTGGACAGCCTTTCCATGGATGTTTTTGGAGGTTTGCGGAGAATCATATGGCGCAACATAGACGCAACATGGATCCAGAGATACCTTCCATGGACGCTTTTGAGCGTTTGTGGAGAGTCGCATGGGGGCCGTTCTGAACCCTGACGCATATGGCCAAATATATACAACATGGCTCCAGACAGGCATTCCATGGAGGTTTGCATGTTTGCGGAGAGTCCCATGGAGGCCGTTCTGAACCCCGACGTGAGATTCAACATACAGACAAACTGGTCCCAAAACAGGCCCAGAAAGGCCTTCTATGGACTGTGAACCTTTTTGGAAGGTCACACATGGGGTCTGGACCATGTCTGAACCAGTCCAAACCGTGTCCGAACCGCCTCTGAACCAGTCCGAGCCCCGTGTCTGTGTTCTCTTAAACCAGTCTGAACCCTGTCTGAACTAGTCTGAGCCGGTTTGAACCGGATACGATTCGCATTGAAACGTGTCTGAGACACTCCGCAACAAGGTCTCTATCTGTCTGTCTATCTGTTCGCTTATCTTTCTATCTGGTTGTTTCCACCTTTGACTCTGTTTGTCTCCCTGTCTATCTAACTCGTTCTCTCCTTACCTATCTCTTGAACTGTCTACCTTCAAACCTATCTGCCTTCGATTCCCATCTTCTCCATCCGATCGCCATCTCTCTCTCTCATCATCCCAATGCAATATCTTCTTTTCATAACAATCGGAAGGCTTAAGATGCGGAGTTATGTGGTTCTTTAATTCCTTTTTTTCCTTTTTCCTGTGGACTGTTTTTGTTCATTCCATGGAGTGATTGTTTTCTTTGCTGCTTTCTTGCATTTCCTCTATTCTGCCACAAATTATAATGTAGCGGAGGTTTCATCCCATCCTTGAAAATCAGAATCCTGCCCATTGTTCACGCTTTTTTGCTTGATTTCTACCAATGCTGCCATTGACTCTTGATACCTTTTTGGTTTGGAACCAAAGCAAAACTTGATCTGGGCTAGAATGTTCACTCACCCTCCTCAAGAAGGATATTATATAGGTCTGACCCAGCATAAAGAGTAGCCCAAGGTGGACATTTTTGAGGAAGAAAAGAGAAATGTTCCAGTGCTCCCACGAAGCTTTCATGTCTGATCTGCTGCCCTGGTGGTTTCTGCTATCCTCGTGTTTCTTCTCCCTCCTCAAGAAGGAAGATTGGCAATTTACCCTCTGGTAAACTAACATAGCTATGGAAAATCACCATATTTAATGGGAAAATCCACTATAAATTGTCATTTTCAATATCTATGTTAGTTTACCAGAGGGTAGCTTGATTTTGCTCTGTCGGTAAACGACTGCAAGAAAGCAAAACTGCTCACTGATACAATATGCAGCTTGCCAGGCATTTGATCTCAGCAAGTTCCTTCAAAGCTTGGTTCTGGACTGGCTGCACAGGTTGCGTAGAAAACATATCCATGTGCAACTTTCGTCAGGATGTGGCTGTAGTGCTATGACTTGGTGTGTGAGACCTTGAATTCTACAAGTTGCAAGTAAATAAAAGGTCAAGGGTGACGTGCCAACGGCCACATGCCTCCAGATATGTGGCTGAAGCCAAAGCAAGACAAAAAGTGAAAGCAGTCATGAAGCCGTAACGAGTCTCTAACTCTGTCGATTGCGTGGAATGCAGCTGAAGCATCACTATATACCTTACCTGAGAAGGGGTGGAACGAAAGCCAGCGCTTGCTTTTTGACTCGCGCGGGGGCGCGTGAAACTCCACCTCATCCATATGGCATGGCTCAAACATGAAGCGCCCCAACATCAACAATTGCTATTGGGTCATAATTTTCCAATCATTAGGGTAAACTCCACGATTTTGTAACTTCTATATCCAAATATGTTTCCTACAATGTACTGCGGCATTGTGAAAAGTTCTATCTCAAGTTCCGTAAATCCGCCTTTGGTTGCTCATTTATCTTAAAACAGCGCAAGTTTGCTCCCACCTATTGTAGATAAATAATACCCGTTTTTTTGTGTGAACAGTGGTCATGTGACCTCTCAAAGTCTAAATTGTTTTCTCCCCAGAATCGTGGTCCATGCTTCTCCGCGAAGTTCCGCAACATTTTGGCCGTACGGTGAGAAATCAAATATAGCTCTACTCGCAAAATGGGCAGTGCAAACCCAAGACAATATTATAACATACGTAAGAAAGGGTATAAGAACGAATGAAAATCGAGGAAAACAATGCAAAACCCACGGGAAACATAGAACAGTGGCGAACATGCAGTCCAAATCAAAAGTATATATATTTAGGCCATTTACAGACCTGGGTACCCCCCCACACCCCCCAAGGGTCTGGAAAATTGGTATTTTACAGGAAATGTCGCCGAATAGCATCATCCCTGACATCGATAGAGATAATTGTTTGGCATCCCGGAAAATCTTCTCAGCTATCCCACTCGCCAAACATCCCTTTTGAAAGGCACACATACTATCACGGACGTACAGATGCATATCATTCCCGTCATTGCCATTAGAAGATTCAAATTCTTTCTCGATGTTTTAGTACAAGATTCACTTTTAGTTCCGTTTCAGCCTTCTCAGTACGGCCTCTTACAATGATATTACAGCATTTGTCTCCTAACCTAGGTGGCTCCTGGGCGCAATCTTCATTCCAATGCTTTGTGACAATAACCAGAGGCCTGGAGCCTATGCATCACTTGACAGTCGACTCAGTTCTAAACCGGAAAGACTATTCCTTCCGTTTACCAGTAGATCGTTTTTGTAGTTCTTATCACAAAACTACCAGAATCAGGGAGGCACCAAAAAACGTCAAACAGTTTTAAGCATTATAAATACTCTAATCTGCAGATTGTATTTATTTTTCTTACTCTGTGAACGAAATCACACTTTTCTAACTTCACACAGATTACCATGAAACCAATTTTCCCATGCAACTCCTAAAATCTTACAACTCATACATCTTTTTTCCTATACCATCCGCATCTTGCTCCAAGGTTTCATGGCAATGTCTTGTACGCGAGTCAGCCACTATTTCCTATCACCAAACTACATTGCTCATCATCTAACATTATCTACAGAAACCAAATCGGATTTCCTGCTCAACGTTTCCGCTCGTTAACATTGTCTTGGTTTTCACTATATTTTTAAAGCATTTTTAGATATAACATTTTCCTAGGTTTTCACTGTATTTTTCTAACATGTTACATGCCTCCTAGCATGTTCACGCGTGTCCTCCATGTTGTACTGTTTTCTACATCGTTTCCTCTAGTTGTTACAAGCATTTCCTAGCTTGTACACCGTTTTCCTAATATTGTCACAACTTTTCTTCCAGTTTCCACTGCTTTTTCTACCGTTTCCTGTGGTTACTTTCTTCTCTTTTGTAGGTTTTCACTGTGTTTTGTCCAGCTTTTTTTATTACATGCTTCCTACCATTTTCACCGCTTTCCTCTATGGCTTTTTGTACCATTTCCTCTCGTTTCCTGCATTTCATGCATTTTCAATATATTTTTCCAAGAGTTTTACCCGTCTCCTTCAGTTTCCGATCGTTTTTGCACCATTTCCTCTGGTTGTTATCGCATTTTCCTGCACTTTCACTGTATTTTTCCAGCATGTTTACTGCATCCTCATAGTTTGTTCCTAGCAGTCGCTCCGGGTTTCCTCCATGTTCCAACAGATTTTGCACCCTTTATTCTGGTTGTTATCACATTTTCCTGCCAGGTTGTTATCACATTTTCCTTCACTGTATCTTTCCAGCATTTTCCAGTGGATTTTGCACGATTTCCTCTGATTGTTATCATGTTTTCCTGCAGTTTCTATATCATCTATATCCTCTTCGTGGGTTTTCAGTCTATTCATGCATTTTTAATCTATTTTTCCAAGATTTTTACCCGTCTCCTTTTTGCACCATTTCCTCTGGTTTGCTGCATTTTCAATGTATTTTTCCAAGAGTTTTACCCGTCTCCTTGATTTTTCCGATCGTTTTTGCACCATTTCCTCTGGTTGTTATCGCATTTTCCTGCACTTTCACTGTCTTTTTCCAACATGTTTACTGCATCGTCATAGTTTGTTCCTAGCAGTCACTCCGGTTTCCTCCATGTTCCAACAGATTTTGCATGGCTTGTTCCTAGCATTTTCCTCTGATCGTTATCATGTTTTGCTCAAGTTTCATTGTATTTTCCAATACATCCTCTTCGTGGGTTTTCAATATGTTTTGTCCAGCATTTTTTTACTACATGTTTCCTATCATTTTCACCTCTTTCCTCCATAGGTTTTTGCACCATTTCCTCTGGTTTCCTGCATTTTCATACCTTTTCAATATTAATATTAATCCAAGAGTTTTACCTGTCTCCTTCATTTTCCGATCCTTTTTGCACCATTTCCTCTCGTTGTTATCACATTTTCCTGCACTTTCACTGTATTTTTCCAGCATGTTTACTGCATCGTCATGGTTTGCGCCTAGCATTCGCTCCGGTTTCCTCCATTTTCCAAGGGATTTTCCATGGTTTGTTCCTCGCATTCGCTCCGTTTTCGTCCGTTTTCCAGGGGATTTTGTACGATTTCCTCTGATCGTTATCATGTTCTCCTGCAGTTTCATTGTATTTTCCAATACATCCTCATGGTCTTTCCGGCCACCAAAAAGGCGGACCTAGGGGGAATCGATACCCCACCGTCAGCAAATTGCCTAGTGGTACTTAATCCAGCAAAATGCTCCGTTTTCTGGCGCTCAACACAGGGGCACGGCGAGATTTCGTTCCCTTTCGGCAACCACCCCCCCCACACCCCCTATTCTCACTTCGTTCGCAAACAGCAACTAGCCAGCTAGCTGGCTTTCGTAATATAATATATATATATATATAATTTATATAATATATACACCGGGGAGTAGGTCATGGTGACTAGCATGGAAATGTCCGTATTTGATCCAAATCTGGTTTGGAATGTTTGAAAATATGGAAACTGCTTTGCTGCAAGACATTGATCGACTTCTTTCCGCTTGGAGCACAAGCCTCGCCATCTAGGGAGAAGTATCTTGCGGGGACTGGTTTCCAGTCATCTCACTGTTAGAGACTGCAAGACAAGAACAAAATTCTCTGTCGCAAAAAGGGGAAGGAATCCCTGGCAAAATCTCTAGACTTCTGCATCTGTTCTTTTTGTTGGGGCTGTTCTGAACGTCGATGACGAATAAAGTCAAGTGCAGACACCAAAACGCATTGATATCCCTCGGAAAACATTCAGCAACATAGACTGGTAGTCTTGTGCATGTGCTATTCGAAAGCTGTTCAGGGAAGACTTAGGGGGCAAACTTGCAAAAGTCAAAGGGAACAACATGGTTGCAAAGTTATAGTAGCTCTGTTGAAGTGTCCCTAAAAAATATTCGAACATGTTGAATGCAAGGCCTGCTTTTCCGATACTTCAAGATGCTTCAAAATCGTATTCACCCAGAAGTGGTATCAACATCGTGCCAACAAACGGGAGACAACATATGAAAAGCATACTTTCACCAAGATGCCAGAGCGATGCTACGGCGCTTCCATTTTGGCCCGATAGATTCGCTTAGCCAACGAGTCCAGCGAAGAACATATTCAGAAAGAGGTAGAACCTATGTGACCAGGCATGTCCTGGATGACTCCAAATGCAATTTATTTAAACTTTAAAACGTGAAGGTCAATTTATTCAAACTTTAAACTTTAAGTCATCAGGATTCATGGGGTGCATCCAGGTTGCAGAGTAACCAACAATCTAATGTAATGCCATCCAGTAGCCGGACTTGTGAGGTACGCTTGAAAGGCGCGATCTGTGCAGGCATCGATGGAGGCCATTTCCTTGCTATGGCTGCTGGTAAGTTTCAAGCAAGAAGTTTCAAGAAGGGTGAATGAATCTGAATAAATGTGCATTTCCTGCAATGGTGTTGCTCAGGCAAGACGGCTCAGTTCAAGTTGCTGGTGATACACACTATCAATCTTGCGTGAATCACCTCACTTTCATTCAGCGACTAGCAATGAAGACAGCAGAATCTTGTAGCAAAAAGAAGGTAAAGAAAGTGCAAGCGTCGCAGTGTCGACCATCCCAGGTAAATTGTTTAGATTTGTCACTGGCACGGCAAAAACAGGGTTCCCCAACTTTGCAGAATCACAAAACATATCAAAACAGTATGGCTCAAATATGCGCCTGGCCAAGCATCCATAGTCCCTCGCAAAGACTCTCTCGACCAACTTCCTTCACGCTTGGTGTTCATTAGCTCTGCAAGTTCAGAGTCGAATGACTCCACACTGCCAGGTGTGAAAAGCCTGGCCTAAGTTCAGTGACGGAGTGCTGCATGGTGCACGTTCAGATCCCAAACCAACATTGCAAAAACCCCTTTGCATCTGAGTTGCATTGACACCATGTGTGAGGTACATTGCAAAACCCTGAGCGTTTGCTGCCAGCATTGGTGTGCCACAACTAATAGACTCCATGGCCTCGGCAAAATCGTTGTCCAACTTGTCTGAAAGATTTATGGGTTGGATACATGGTTAAAAAGTTAAAACGATTGTTTGTAGAAGTTTAAAACAAAACGATTCAATTGCGAAGGTCCATAGCATGATTCTTAGTTCTGGTGTGCCACAAGTGCAATCGTGCGAGGTAATATGCCACATGACATGGTATCATTTCAGTTTATGTCTACGTGATTCCGCCATCAATGCTAACGCAATTCCGCGTCAAGGGACGGTAAATCCAACTGTTTCCATACGACTAGCAGAAACGTGGAGGTCTGCTGCCCGGAAAATCAAAGCAACTTCATCCCGGCTTGCAAGTTCGCCAGTACAGTACCTGCCGAACAGATCAAATGTTGGCGTTCTTTGCACAATGGAATAAAATTCAAAATTGCGGGATCACTGCTTAAAATACCACCTCAACCTCCTCAAACACGCAACAAACAAAATAAAAAAAATGAATGCATCAAAGGTACAAACGATGCTCCGGTCCATGAAACTGTTTCAATTCTTCAGCCATTGATCCAGGTCCAATTAAGGCTAAAACGACATGTTTCGGAGCCCGCTTGTGTGCATCAACCAAAAATTGTATGTCTTTTTCAGCTGTGACTCGTCCAACGTAAACCATTAAGAAACTGGTTTGCATCCCAAACGTCAAACGTTTTCGGGTTTCTGAAACCTTGTCATCAGGAAGATCCACTCGAAACTGATTACGATCAACCATGGGACCCCAAATGACAGGAGCAACACGCTGCTCCGGCACGCCAGCATTTCGAAGTATCACCATGGATTGTTTGGAAACTGGAAAATAGTTGGCTCCGGCCAATGCCCAGTTTCTGTAACCCCAATGGGTGAAAAGGACGGCCGACCATGAATGCAATCTTCCAATGGTTCCACCCAAAGATGAGAAACCTTCATCACGAGCAGCTATCTGTGCAACATCGGTGTGAAGTGAGATGATCACCGGAACATCGCTCAAAGCACATGCAGCAACCAGGACTTGGAGGGATGCTTCTTGTGTTGCATGCACCAAATCAGGTTCGAACTTACGAATTGCTCCTAAGAGCCTCCGCAAATTGGTCAAACTCATTTTCATGCACATATTTTTGCGATAAATTGGTGTCTTTTGAGTTTGGAGCGTCACGTGTTCAACGCCCAGAATTTTCTCAAAATTCGGTTGTTGTTCACCATTCATCACAAAATCCGGCGTCAAAAGCATAACTCTAACACCACGTTTTGCCATTGCATTCACGTGTGCCATCATCCGGACAGCTACACCATCAACTTGCCCTGGAAGCCACGAATGGGAATAGACGAGGACACGGCTGGGACCAGAAGCGCCGTTGATGGTCATGGCTAGGACTAATTTTGCCCAGCGGGTGAAAAAAATGAAATTGAACAAACACCCGTATTGACAGTTGTATGTTAACGACATGATCCAGTTGAACAACAATGTCCAAATCATGCTGAACATAAAACGGCTGCATTTGTGCATCGCGGAGACTATCAGTGCAATTATTTTTTCAAACCATCTCAGATGTGTTGTGGGTGATGATGATGATGATGATGATGATGATGAAACGTCCAACAAAAAAAATCAAAACAAACCGAAAAAAAACAAGTGTCAGCATTAAAAAAACACTCCGACAAAAACAAATGATGAGTTCGTAACATGTGTCATCGCATTTGGATTTTTTGACCGTGTCGATGCATTCCGTTTTTCAACACATTTGTTTGAAAAAAAATGTTTTAAAAAATGCCCGTTTCCAGGCTGATAAAGTAATTTTTTGGATGTTGGTTATGATTTTGATGTAGTTTTTTGTTGCTGCAGTAGTGGCGGTGATGATTTTGATGATGATTTGGATGACGCTATCTATGAAGATTTGGACGATCACAAAAAGGGTGGTTATGTATATGTATATATATATATGTATGTGTGTTTTCGCTAAAAAATGGTTTTGCCGAAATCAGGATACTTTGAATTGCATGTGTTGTTTGGTTTTCCTGTATTGGTTTTCCTGCATTTCCAACAGAAAAACCGCGCTGCCAACGGCCAGCAAAAAAAACTGCCGGCTTTCGTGTGGGTAACCAATGTTTTTTGCACTGGTTGCATGGGAAAATGTTCTTTGCGCGGGTTGGTGGCAGTGTTTTTGGGTGCGGGGAGCCCTGTTTTTCTGACACACAATAAGCATGTTTTTTGCGATGCAACGGTGTTTTGTTTAACGGTGTTTTCTGCAATGGTTGGTTTCCTGCAAAAAAACGGTTTGTTATTTGCATGGTTTCGGGGGTGCTGTGGTTGCTGCTGCTGGGTAAAGCGATCGAATATATATATATATACATATATTTATTTTGGATTCCGTGATGTTGATCGAACGTGCTGATGCCAAACCTCAACTGCAGACAAACGTAGTGAAGGGTTGGGACGAAAAACTCGTTGAAACACAAGTGGGCTGGCTCACTTGAGCCGCTTGTCATTGGGTCCAAACAAATGCGATGCGCTCAAACATGAACTGCATCATCCCGTTCTCTTGCCCCATTAAGTATGGGTCAAGCCACATCCCTAATCAAAATAAAATTATCAACAAGTTGAGTTACATTTTATTTTGGTTTCCGTGATGTTGATCGAACGTGCTGATGCCAAACCTCAACTGCAGAGCACACACATCTTTTTGACCGAGGGGAAATGCGATCTGACCATTCGTCTTGTCTCGCGTCTCTCCCCCTTACCTCTGAGACAAGCTTACGTTCCCTTCCGCTGCGCATGCTTCCCAACGTTCGAGCAGGTCAATCTGCGTGGCCTTGACTCCTGCGTACTCATGCATCTTCTTTCTGGACAACTCATCTGCTGGGTTGGATTGTGAAGGAACTGTTTCAATCCAAGTCACCAACCCCAGTTTCTTTTCAGAAGAGCATATGGAGCGGACTATGAGGTTCATGTGATGGTTGCTCGATTTGCACTTTATCAAGCAAGACTGCGCACTCTGGTTGTCAGTGAAAATCACAACCCTCCTGCCCTTGACATGCTCGCTGAAGGCGTTCAGAGCCACTGCTATTGCTAAGCCTTCAAGCTCAAAAATCACGTCTGTCGTTCTTTTCTCTTGAGTTTGGACACCAAAGCTGGGGTGATTTCTTCACTAAAACAACCCAGACACTTCCCCATCGAGTCAAGGATCAGGCCACCCACGCTTGAGTAACCCGAGGGTTCGAACGACGCGTCCACATAAATGTGCACCCAATCCAGAAAATTCACATCCACGGGTCTGGGGGCGTTCTCTGTAAGGAGCTCCACCATGAGTGTCAACGACTCTGCAAGTTCATTTGAGATTGAGCGGAAACTCCTGCTGACGTGGACGTTCAGGTCCTTCAGACAGTTGCAAAACCTACGTCCAAACAACTGTCCCTCGGAGTCTCTCCCCTTCCACACGGGAGAGGGTCCCGCTGGCAAATATCTCATGCATGCAGAATATGAGTTCGGACTTCCTAGACTCGGTGTTATTGATGTCTATCAAGCCAGATGGGCTTTTGCAAAGGTCCACTTCCACGCCCAGTACTTTGCAGCATTGAGCATAAGGCACAAGTTTGTCGGTGGAGAGCTTCCGCCCGTCGAAACACACAGCTCTGTGTGCTTGTCCACGCAAGCGGGTGTCATACTCAGGAAGTCGTCAAAATATGACGTCCAGGCTAACTTCAAGAGGCTGCTCCCAACATGCCAGATCCCAAGTGTGCATCGCAGGAATGCCGTGACGGGGGCAATAGACCCGAAAGGCAGCACTGCCTGCTTGTATATCTCGGGTGGGTCAAAGATCATAATGTAGGAGTCGGCCTCGTAAGCGTCGTCAGACAAAGGGATCTGAGATCTGTTTGTATGCTGCGGCTAAGTCACAACACTTAGAGACAAGTTGTAGCCTCACCCCCCTTCTTCTGGGCAGCCAGCCGACATCAAAGCAGCGCCTAAACACGGTATGTGGTCTATCCCATGCAGGGTCACAACTTCGACCTGAGTGACCGCGGATTTTACCAAACTAGCCTTATATGTAGAAAAAGCGCCGTGCACAGATCTGCGGTCAGATCCAACGCTTCTTCAAAATTCCTACAGAACTACGCAGGCGGACGCGTACGTCAACCACGCACACCAAACACGAGCGCAGAGCGTAAATTCACAAACCTAATTAAACTAAAGCAATACCGTGTCAAAAGAATTGTTTCACCCTCGACTCCCACATGCTGACGTCAAGCCTCTTCTTTTCGCTCCAGACGCAACACGATCAGTCACGGGGAAACACAAACACAACAAGCAAAGAAACAAAACGAAGAAAGACGACAAAGAGAAAAACAAGATGTGTTCCCTGTGTCGGTCTGTCTTATGTCAAGTTATGTGACACAGCAGCTCTTGTTCATTAAATGAACTTCTGACACCAGTCCTTCGAGCCGATGTCTCAACTGGTAAACTCGATTCCAGGTTTCCAGTTAACAAACCTCAAGTTCTTCAAATAAAGGTTTGTTGAAACTATTCCAGCTGCTAGAAGTCTACAAAACTCAATTTCACTAGATGAACTCCAAAAGTTCTCAAATCAAACTGGTTCTCATCCAAACGTGAATAACCAGCTCATTAGTCACAAGCTGACTAACTTCTCAAAAACGAAGTGATTCACACAAAGTATCTGTACAACCTTCTTCTGGATACAAAACATAGTCAGAACACAAAGTTCTTTCTCCAAATCAGCTTTCCACATAGAGATAGCATCTCACAGCTTCCAACCTCAATGTAGAATAGAACGTTCTGTTCGACATTGTCAATGTAGGTCAGCCAAATACAGTTGTATCGCTGAAGTCTTTCGACCACTGTAATAGCCAATCCACAATGTAGACCAAAGTCGTCTCAGGAACGATAAAATGCACACCATAAGATCAAGTGTATGATCCATAGGTCACGATGACGATGATGTATGTATTGTCCTCACAATACCGAAACATCTCATCACAAAACTCTCAGACAAATAAGATGCCCAAATATGGCCATTGTCTTCACAATGCCAATGCATCTCAAGGTCCAAACTCAAAGCATAGTAGGTTCTCTCCATCAGATATTTCCAGCTAGCTTAAACTCTTCTCCAAGAGTTTCTAGCTGTGTTTTCATCACTTGGAGAGAATGAACTTCACAATGTTCAGTGTCCACGACAGAAGAAGTAATCTTAATGTCAAGCCAATGTAGGTATCTTCAGCTCAAGCAATAAGCTGTACCAGACTCAAGTCGAATCCAGAATAAGATGTCGAACTGATCAATATACCACAATCACAGGTCAACACTGATCAATGACATCATCCTGATGTCAGAAATGATAAGTCCAAAGACGAATAGAATATTGTGATACAGGTTGGTCACATACAAGATTCCTTCCGCAATAAGTAGAGTGTTCTCTACCAATCTTCCATGACGCGATGAACTCTTGTAGTAGCCTTCCACGTATCCTCTGTGCACAAACTATACAAGAATGAAGTATCATTCGTTGTATCTGGATGGATATTGGAGCTATGTGGATGGAATGTGGTGGGTCCAAAACCTCTTAACATCTGTTTTATGGTCATGATACTTTGACCTCGCCCTACCTAATCCCCTCGAAGGGATCACATCACTGGCCAGGTGTGGGGCGGAGCCCGCCCTTGGGGCCAACGCACTGTCCTGTAGTAATAAAGCAGGCGGTGTATGAGAGCAGGGCATATGGGCTAAAGCGCCTGCTCTGGGCAAGCCTGGCAATGAAACCTGGAGCATTGCTGCTATGGGTACCCGCGGCAATGCTTCCAGGTTTCTCACAGGGGCTCCATGTTAGGGAGGCCTAATGAAAGTTCCACCAATGTAGTAGTGTGTTTGGTTGGTGATCATTCTTTAGACATTGGTTCCCGGTGGAATTCATTATGTTACCCAAAAACAAATCAGCGTATCAGTGATGGCACAGTACTGTACACACATGACAGGACAAACATCACCTCTCACCACATATTTTCAAATATTATTAGACACAAAGGTTTCAAACATGCAACAAGTTTGTACATAGAGATTTTCCATGCTTCCATATAATATATTAAATATCTACTAGGCTGAGGATCCCCTTGGTGAAAGTACTGGTTTGCAAATCAAAAAAACTTTCTGCTGGGAAGCCCGTTAAACTAGTAACTGGGAACTTGAAGTCACCACCCCGCCATTTGGCCCATCTAAAAAAATAAGCTAGGGCTTCCCAGCCCATTCTTCAAAATCAAAGACTTCCCAGCCCAAAGATTGTTGATGGCTTCCCAGCCAAAGTTTAAAGGGCTTCCCAGCCAAAATGTTGCCTGATGGCTTCCCAGCCAATAGTGTAAAGGGCTTCCCAGCCCAAATGTTGTTTGATGGCTTCCCAGCCACTAGTTTAGAGGGCTTCCCAGCCCAAATGTTGTTTGATGGCTTCCCAGCCACTAGTGTAAAGGGCTTCCCAGCCCAAATGTTGTTTGATGGCTTCCCAGCCACTAGTTTAGAGGGCTTCCCAGCCCAAAGGGGTTTCCCACCCCAAACTTTGCTGCTGGCTTTTCAGCCACTAGTTGAAAAAAGGCGTTCCCGTCCAAAAAGTTGTTGATGGCTTCCCAGCCAAAATTTGAAAAGGCCTGCCGCCCCAAAAGTTATTGATGGCTTCCCAGCCAATAGTTTCAAGGGCTTCCCAACCCACAGTTGGATGATGGCTTCCCAGCCCACAGATGGCAGGGAGTCAAAGTACCTTGGCTGATCGACAGGTTCGACCAACAAAACAATTTCTAGTGACATTGCCTATTTATATGTAGTTTTTGGAGACAAGCTGCAGGAAAAACATGTCAAGATCCAGGCGCAGCAGAGCCTGCCCAGCAAATAGCAAACTTGAAAGAATCCTAACTTGATTGGGCGAACCTGAAGACAATCTAGAACATTTTTCCAGCTGTGCAGAATCTGAACACTAGACCAATCTTGACGACAGCTTCCCTGCTACTGATCAGTGTGGGTTCTGAAGAAGGCTTCACAGCCATGTGTTTTAAATTTGGCTTCCCAGCCATCGGTTTTGAGCAAGGCTTCACAGCCATTGGTTTTGATTAAGGCTTCGCAGCCATGTGTTTTAAATATGGCTTCCCAGCCATCAGTTTTGAGCAAGGCTTCACAGCCATTGGTTTTGAGCAAGGCTTCACAGCCATGTGTTTTAAATATGGCTTCCCAGCCATCAGTTTTGAGCAAGGCTTCACAGCCATCGATTTTGAGCAAGGCTTCACAGCCATTGGTTTTGAGCAAGGCTGCACAGCCATGTGTTTTTAAATATGGTTTCCCAGCCATCAGTTTTGAGCAAGGCTTCACAGCCATCGATTTTGAGCAAGGCTTCACAGCCATTGGTTTTGAGCAAGGCTTCACAGCCATTGGTTTTGATTAAGGCTTCACAACCCTTTTTTAAACACGGCTTCGCAGCCATGCATGGGTTTTGAGGAAGGCTTCACAGCCATCATTTTGGTGTTAATTGAAACTTCCCAGCCCAGGCTTTCAAGGCTTCCCAGCCTATTTTCCTGACCTGAGGCAACACCAGCGCACTGTGAAGTTCTTCGAACGGCACGCCTGGCAAGTTGGTGGCTGCAGGGTCATGAAGAAGTCAATGTTCAAAGAAACCATTTGACATGTTGCAAAGAATGTTGAATAAACTGATTGAAATTGAATGCAATGAATTTGGAGCAATTTTTTGATAGCCACAGCTTCGCCAAAAGAGTGATGTTGAACGCCACATCCAACCAACGCTAGTCAGTTGGCATCACACCCCAAAATTTCAAAGGGTCAATTTTAAAATTGGCCTCTCAGTAGACTTTGTTGCTCCGAGCAGCTTGACATTGAGCTCGAAGTTCAGACCCAAGCCATTCCTTATTTGCTTGATCCATCAAATCCTTTCGGGTGGTTGTGTTGGCTGAGCCTGGCTGTTTCGTTTTCCAATCAGTCCAAGCATTCATGTACATCATTCGCGTCTTGCGCAAGTCGCCGCTGATGACAGCATCTAGCAGGTCCTTGTCAGGAACAAACACGGTCGCATCAGGTTGGTTTTCATCACCTGGGCCATCATCCTTCGGGGGTTCCTCTGGTGCAAGTTCATGGTCAGGCTTCTCACGCGCGTCGCCCCCCCCATCTCGTGATCCAGCCGGTGCTTTCAACACCCCCTTGGATACCCATTTCTCATGCCATACTTTGCTGTTTTCACGGGCTTTTTTCTTCCTGCGCTCCATCTCCACAGCCTTCTCTTCCTCTGTCATGTCTCTCAAGAAGCGCTTACGACGAGGTGGCTGGCTATCATTGTGGCCAGCATCTTGAGGTTGGCCATCCTCAGCTTGACCAGCATCAAGCGCAGGGGCGTCAGACTGGTGGCCATGATCACCAGGTGTAGCAACATCATCCTGACAGGGTTGGGTATCATCAGGCGCAGCGGCACCAGGTTCAGGTTCAGTATCATCAGGCTGGCCACCATCATCCAGCGAGGCCTGGGTCTGGCCATCATCAGCTCCAGCGGGTTGAGGCAGGTCACCATCAACTGCACCAAAAAGGTCAAACTCCGTGAACAGTTCCTCAAAGCGTTCAGGACGATGGGCATCAATGGTCTGCCCCAAAATCTCATCACGGGCCCGTGGCCCTACATCTTGAGTGGCCTGCGCAGGATTCAAAATTTTCAAAATTACAGCAGTAGAAACCAAAAACCCTATAGTTAGTGACCACCAACAAATTTGAATGTGCAGAAAATAATAATGTTTGAAAAACATTGCCTGAACCGGCGAGAACAAAGTGCTCTTCCCCCTCAAAATGTTTTTTGTAGGTGGTGTGACGCAAGCTTCGTCCCCTGGTGGTTCCACTGGTTGCGCCATCCTTGCCCCACTGACAGAAAACTGCGGGGCAAGGGGCCGCGGTTTTACCACGGCATCACCGCTGATTGAGTGGAAACCAGCATCTGTAGCTGGCTCCTCATACTCATCTTCAGATTCATCTAAGAGATCTACATTCATCATAAAGACCCTGTTGTCAAACAATTGAGCCATCAAGTCAAAACAGACATCATCTGATGATCACAGCTCAACAGTGAAGTATTCATGTTTTCACTGTGCAGTTCCCATGTCTCATGTAACCCAAATTTTCAAGTGCACTCAGCGCATTCTTTCCGCTTTTGTCCATGTGCCAGGTTCGAAGCGCCAGCTGATGAAGTGGCCAGCTGGTTCAGAGGTGCGCCCAGCACCAGGCTTCTAGAGAGAACATGGATCAGGATCATGTGACCCTGTGATCCCACCAAAAGATCGCAGCAAAGTAACTCTCACCAATTGGAGTGTTGGTCTGAAAAAAGCTGGAGCACAACATATTTTTCTTGGATCTCAAAATGCATTTTCACAGGAGCACTTGGCCGCTACCCACCATGATTGAGACATAGGTCATGTCTAAGTTGAGGGCTGCAGGTATATTAATTTCCTCACGCCAGACGCTGCACCTTGCCTTTCCTCATCTCAAGCGACTCCTTCAGGAACCACAGTGGTTTGGCAGCTCCCAAGGTCTTCTCCGCCCTGTAGGCTCGCATGCGCCAGACCTGGATGGTGGGCGGCAGAGAAACCTAGACGATGATGATGATGATGATGATGGTGATGATGATTCTGGTGTTGATGGGTGATGTTGCAGATTGATGATCATGATGGTAACGATGAGGAGATGATGATGATGATGGTGATGATGATCATGATGATGATGATGATGATGACGATGGTGATGATGATGATTGGTGGTTAATGATGATGATGACGATGATGATGATGGTGGTGATGATGATGATGATGTGTTTTTGATTTCATTAGCATAAGTCGATTGAACAAGAAAATAAACATTACATGTGTGAGAGACCCTGTAAATTATACATAGGTCGGTGTAGAACAAACGTAAATATAAATATATATATATATAGTATCTGCACAAAAACTGTACATCGTTATCGTGTGCTTTTTCAATGCTGTATTGACAAATATTGTACCTTAAATGTTTTGTTTCAAACTTTGATACATATAATGATATGTGCGTGTGTGCTTTGACAATTTCACATGTTTATATATATATATATGTATTTTTGCTGTCATATATGTAATGGGCGTGTGCATACAGTGTGTATAAAAACATACTGTGTACATATGTACCACATTGAAGGGAGTTACTATCCTGAAGTAAGATGATGCCAAGATGCAGGGCATTGACCAAATGGGGGGAAGGTTGGCAACATACATGCCGCAAACATCACCGAACATTTGGTTGGACAGTTGTAGCCAAATACAAAACGAACATGGGATTTGTATAGATTCAGATCATGTGTTTTAAGATGGCCTTGGTAAGGGCAGCCGAAGACTCCAGGACATCAGACACGAAGAAGCTGGCTGCATTGCTGGATCGCAGGCCAGACATTTGCAGTTGGTTCGGGCGCCAGAGCATCTTGTTCTTGGGGGCCACCTCAAACCTTAGTGATGGGCAGGGAATGGTAGGGACAGTCAGTCACCAAAAACTTTGACCCAACAGCGACGACGACAACTGCAAAAACCATTTACCAAAATTGAAGCAAGAAGCTGATCGCGGGCCACACCTTGCACCACCGAAGCTGGCCTTGAGTAAGAATGACCTCCCAGTTCAAGGTCAACCATGCCATTTGTCTCACAGTGTTGCAAGATCTCACGAAGGCTTCGCAAGGGCCCATCGTTTCCAGACTCCTGCAACACGACATCATTTCAACAAAATACATGAATCGAACGACTCATGGTTCAGCAGGTGTTTGGTTTTTAAAAGAACGACCGCCGAGCCTCCAAAAGCACAGGAACGGTGTCAGATGTGAACTCACAAAGCACAGCTTTGTGACCTTGGGGGTTGTCAGTGATGAACTGCTCCGCCTTCCCTTCGAGCAACCAAGATCCGGCTCCATAGGTCAAGGCAGGATCTGTCGCGGCAATGGTGTAGTCTCCCAAGGCCTCCACATAAAGCCGGAATTTCTTGTGGACGGTCTCCTCCGAAGCTTGGTCAGCTTCACATTCGACAAGGTATGCCATGAGCTCTGGGCACCACTGAAACTTGCCCTTGACCTTCCCATCAAACTCGACGTGCCATGGATCCTTGTCGGTAATCTCACCGGGGCAAACTTTTTGCCAGTCAAAGGCCACAGGGGCTTGACCATCAGCGACAGGGGCGGCTTCCGGCTCAGCATGAGTTCCGAAGACCCTGTCGAACTCTTGCAGCATCTTCCTCCATTCTGGGCTTCGAACAGCATCAGTGAGGAATTCTTGCCTCACATCTCGGGGAAGGCAAAGGCACCCATCAAGGATGGTGCACAGCCGGAGCTCCGGCTCAACAGGTTCCGCCGGCATGTTCTCCAAGTCTGCCTCAGGCTTGTACCTAGGCAACCTTTCAGCCATGGCCCCCTCCTTGTTCTTCCACATGTCCAAGAGGAAATTCTTGGTGAGCTTGATGGAGGTCACGAAGTTTGCCTGCTTGTCAGACTGGGAGACGCATGGCAAGCCCATCTCAATACAAGCTCGCTCCAAGCAGCCATCATACGCCGTGGCATTCACAACAATGGTAGGGACAGCAGTTGTTCCACCTGATTGCAAACTTTCGGGAAGATGACGATGAAAAAACTGATCTAGAACAGAGAACACTTCAAGAAAGAACAAAAATAAAACTAGCCGAGAATCATTGCAGGAGGTCTTTCAAAATCAGCTTTGGGATCTCAGTGCCTCCAATCCACTGAGCTGTTTCCTGAAGGTCAGTGTAATTGCGGCGCCCCTCTGCTGAAGAAACGATCGCACTGCATCCCGGGATGATGAACTCACTCTCATCAATTGCCCTTGGTGCTGAGGAAACCAGCTGGCTCTGCCAAAGCTTGGAAGACGCAAAGCAGTTGATGTCCTCCTTCTCCACCTTTGAAGATTTTGAAGGGGGAATGAATGTGTTTGACCCCAGGACCCCAGGATATGTTGTGGTAAAAACAATTGTGTTTACCATCACCGGCCTTGGACGCACCACGGTTGGCTCTGTGAGCCGTGCCTTTGGAAGGCAAAGTGGCGTCAGAAACGCACAGGTAGAGAGTGAACCCTGCAGGCATGTCCCTGTTGTGGTGGAGGCCATTCAAGTCCATTGGCAGGAAGAAACTGCGAAATTCGATGTGATGCTGGATGAGTTTGTCTTCCAACTTCCTGGTATTTGGCAAAGAGCAAAAACTTCAAAGCCAAAAATGGGTTCATCTTTTCGTGGCCAAAAAAGGAACCCCAAAATCAAAGGTGAATTGAGGCATGGATCCAGATGCCACCCCTGAAGGCCATGAAAATGGGCTAATCATCTTTTTTGGGTCCAAAAAGGTATGCAAAAATCAAAGGTGAGTTGAGGCATGGATCCGGATGTCACTCCTCAAGGCACCCAAAATGGCCCATCTTGTTTGGGTCAAAAAAAGACACCAAAGTTCAACGGTGAATTGATGCATGGATCTCGATGTCACCACTCAAGGCCCCAAAAAATTGTTCATTTTTTGGGTTCAAAAAAAGTGTCACAAAATACAAAGTTGAATTGAGGCATGGATCCGGATGTCGCCCCTCAAGGCCCCACAGCCAGCGGTTCCAGTGAGCAGGGGCAAGGACATCACCAAGCATGTACCTCAAATCAAGCTTGGTAGGGATGAACAAAAAAGATTCTTCAAAGAAAACACGGTCACAAAAAGTTGAGCCAAGATGCCAACAGGGTGTTTGGCGATGAGTTTCTCAGACCACACGCCGACCTTGTTGATGTCCTTCTGGGTCAAGACACCAACCTTCGTCAAATCAATCCACCCGATGATGTTCACCTTGTCGGCAGCGACTTGGTTCTTGGCGGCTGCGGCCCGGATGAGCTTGTCCACTTCCGCAGGCGTGGCCCAGTCCCCGACCAATCCCATCCAGTAGTTGCTCTGCATGAACTCATCCACCACCCTGCCACCAGATAGCTGCAACAGTGGCTCAAACAAAAATGACCCAAAACATTGCCCAACAAAAATGGCAAACCAGGAAACAAGTCTGAAAAGATCAAAACGATGAAAAAATCTTGGGCCAAGAAACTTCTTGCCCTGCTCAAGTTGGGCCTTTTCATGCAAGACCCGGGTCACATGCTGCTTGCTGTTTGTCAGCATTCCAAGCATTCATTGCTTGGCAGTCAGCAGCTAGTTTGCATTTCACTTCTGCAAACCTGCTGGCACTGGCTTGCTCTTGCGCGGCCAGGACATCAGCAGACTCATCCCCTGCCAAGCGCGCGGGCAAGCTCTGAACCTCGATCAAGTCAGGTCAAGGAGCTCAAGCGAAAGGATGGGTTGCGGGATGCCACGACCGCTTCAACATCACTGAAGTAGTCCCTGAGGGCAAGGATTCATGTGTGAACCTGGTTTGAAGAACCTGGAGTTTTCGCAAGCAAACTTGCAATCAATGCAACCAGTTGGTGATTATATGTGATTATATCGATCACAAACTCAAGTTTCCATTCTATGCCCAGGTGCTTGTTGAGGAAAGCTTCCATGAGCTTGTCATCCACAGAGTTGTCAGAGCGAACCTCCTTTGCCACATGGCGCAAGCGGGCAAAGATGCATGAGAAGTCCACCAGCTTCTCAAACTCCTCAACGCTTGCCCGAGCCTTGCCACGAGAAGATGGCTTCATACGGCGGGTGCTGTTGAGAAAGGTCCGGACGTGCAGCTCCATCAGCATCGCCTGGGCAGTGGCCGAAACTGTCAAAGCTTCCTGTAAAGCTTCTGGCATGTTCTTCGCCTTGGAGTTCAGAAGCCACCGGGTGGTGCGAAGCTGCTCTGTGCTGAAGGCCGAGTCTTTCCACTTGTTGAACTGCAAGTGGTTGGACATGATGTCTCGGGTTTCCTGTCCAAGGTTTGCTGGAGCATGACTTGTGAAATTTGATGAAAGCAGTTGAGAACAATTTAAAAGACATGAAAATTATTCAGCTAGCAACACCGAGCCTTGCAAGTCCCACAAATCAGATTGAGGATGGTGCGCTCCTTCTCTAGGTCCACCATGTGTTTGACATTCAAGCCCGGGCTTTGGTTGAAGAAGGCCACCACCTTTTTGAGCCGGGACTCAGTGTTGCCGGACATGCTGGCTGATTGGCGCTCCATCACATTGCTGAATCTCAGCGCCATTTGCAGCACTGTTGGCGGCTGCCGTTCGGAGCCGCGAAACGACAAGCTCAAGTTTCGAAAGCTCTGCTCATCTTTGGACATCCCCATGGCAATCTCAGCTGCATGAGACACGGCCAGGTATGAGAAGGCTTCATGAAGAAATGGAACCATATCAAAATTTTGAAAGCCAAAGCAACATACCAGAAAGTCGGAAAACCATCTAACTCAAGCAAGAAATTTTCGCCATCTTCTAACGCATACATGTTTTGCATATATAGTAGATCTCTATATTAAGAACATATTATGTACATTTGCAAAATAATTTAAACTCAAATGAATACTAATATTGCAAATATATATATAAATGTATCAATGTATGTGAATTCTGATCCAAGGAACATGCATTGGCACAAGCCATGCTCGATCCAAGATCGGCTCCAGCGGCTTCAGCAAAGCCACATTGGCAGGGTCAGTGACGTCGAGGTCGCAAGCCACCAAAGCGGCAAATGCCACACAGCTGATGCGGGTCCACCCCTTGACCACGTCAAACTCGAAGGGGTTCAAAGACATCTGGCCGCCAGAACCTTGGTGGCGACAAGAATTTTTGAAATGAAACATGAATCACCGGACGACAGCAGCCAGACACAGGCAGCGACTTTTTTCACTGCCAATGCTTGGCTTCGAAGATCTTCTTCAAAAAAACATCACTGGGCCAGGGATGATCACTTCTTCGGCTTCTCAGCTCGTCGGCTTTCAGTATCTGAGTCCTCTTTCACATGGTGAGCTGCGCGTGTGTCTTCCTCACCAGGGATGATTGTGTCGGTCGGTGACGGAGCTGGGCTTCCAAGCACTGTGACGGAGTCTGCTGGTGAAGTCGGTGACGGTTGTTCACTGCAGATTCTCTTGGGCGGCGGCACGTCTTTCTGCATCACATCTTTCTTCTGCTCCTTTTTGACCTTGGTTTCAGTCCCAGCTGGTGGCGGTGGTGGTCCTGGTGGTGATGGTGGCGCTGGACCATTGGACCCGGAAGGTGCCGTCCATTGGTCATCTTTGTTGGCATAGACCCAACGCCAGTCACCAGTCCGCTGATTCTGCTCAAACTCACCTAGGAGGCAGCCAGTCAGTCAGTCATGATGGCAGTGACCAAAAAAGACTTTAAAGTGCATGACAACAGCAAGGACATTCCAAAATGCCAAACACACTCCAACATGAAGCTTGCAGGCAAAGCACCCTCCAAAGAGTTGGCGTTGACATTGACCGAAAAACTTTTGCACTGCCTCCAAGCGTTCAGCCAATCTTGGTACCCTTTTCCATTCCCTTTGGCGCTGGTCTGGTACATGAATCTGAGGATCTCCCGTTGATCCCTGGTCTGGCGATCCATATGAGAGCTGCCCTGACCAGAGCTGCCCTGACCGCCGCTGCCAGACTGAGAAGTGTTAGTGGTGGCCATGGCAACAGCGAAGAATTATGTAAGTCAGAAAAGGGTTCTGCTCGAGAAGCCCTGTGAGAGTATTGCAGGACCATGCGCAAAATTGCAAGTTTGCCATGTTATGCTAGGCTATGAGGCTTTGATGATTGAAATGGAGACATGAAGACCCAGTGAAAGTCCTGAGATGTCTTGAGCCGTTTGACGACTTCGACTGAGGCTTCGTGAGGACGAGGTTCAAAGTTGAAAACGACTGACTGCATGAACACTGATCATTTTTGGTATTGAATCAACCTGATAGGTCTTGATCAATCACGACGCAAATTTCAGCCAAGTGACCGGTAGGTTTGAAATCGACCTGGGAGAGCAAGGGTTAGCACATGGTGGAAAAATCCATGGAAAACAAGTATCAAAATTTCACGCGTGACAATGTAGCGAAGGAACAAACTGGCTAATTGACTGTTATGTATTGATCCATTCGTCATATGGTAAAGTGAGTTGTTTGTTGAAAGGTTTGAGCTCCCGACGCTGATGTCCAAGGGCTCTCTTCCCAGGTCTAAACCGCCCAGCAGAATGGAAGTGAAGGTAGTGATCCAATCATCAATGGGTGGCAACCCGTCTTCCGGCACATCGAACCTGAACTGTGCTTTGGTTGAGAATGTCAGTGTCTGAATGAGTTTTGCCCACAGTCGGTGATTCTTACTCAGCTTATTTTTCGATTGCATTCGGATGTCCATACCCAACACGAAAAAGTCAAGTGTAAAGTGCAATTTACTCGCTGACTTCAGATTTTCAATCATTTTTTTAATATATCAATCTGCAAAGTCAAATTGCTTGACCGCTGTGAGAGGCAGCTTGACAGTGTCATCTGCATTGGCTGCGTCAATTGCCTGGAGCTTAGGGAGACAGGTGGTGGCCATGACTTTGGGTAAAGGTAAGTTTTGAACTGCTCACAATTGATAGCTGGGCCCCTGACACATGAGCTCAGGGGTTTGAATGTCCGAGCCGTTGTCCCACGCATGTTGGCGTAACTCTCGAACCAAGTTTCAAGTTGATGGGCATGGGTCAGCCTGTCAACGCCGCAAAGTCGGTCAACCACCTCTTGTACTGGATGAATGCAGTCGATGTTGCCACCATCAGCGGTGAACAGCAGCATGTGGTTGATCAAGTCCTGAATACCACAGGTTCATATGTTGCATCCAGATCCACATTAAAAACAACTTTGCGCAAGTTGGTCATCAAGATTCATGCGCGGTCCTTTACCAAAGTCGTGTCACCCGGCATGCCTTTCATTTTCTTCTCCATCTCCGTCGCCAGCTTTTTGGTAGGAGAAGGTGTGACTGCCCCTTCTTCTTTCACCTTGGTATCCTCAGGTTTGAGTTTCACAGCTGACGCTTCTAGCAAGCGGCATGGAGGCGCCATGGGTGGCAGGGTACTTCACAGTCCCCTGATGTGACACGCGGCCACAAAACACAAAGACAATCCCTGTCACAGGCTCTTAGCCAAACACTGCGCGAATCAGTTTTTTCAGAATCTACCCTGTGTGGCAAAAAAATCCATTGATGAAAACTTAAAATTTCATATCTTTCATCGATGGACTCTGGGCCCCAGACTCCATTGAAACACCATGGTTTGAAGATGTAAAGTTGATTTCAAAATTGGATTTGAACATATTCATCAATGTTGCAGTCGAAGTGCATGCTGTTTCAATGCACCCTGGGCCCCACGGTACATTGATGAAAAAATTGACAGGCGCATGTTTCATCAATGCACTTTTTGTCCCACATGTGTCTCGCACATGCACTCCAGAGCCTCCTGGTATGATGATAGGAGCAGCCGCGGCTGGCCTGCCAAAGGTGGTAAAAGCAAATTGAGAGCCTCCATTCATCAATGGACGCGGAGCCCGGGAGTCCATCGATGACTGCCAATCCGAGCCTCCAAACAGGCCTAGTGCATCGATGGTCGCTGTTTCAGGCCTCCAAAAGGCCAAGGTGCATTGATGAACCCGGTGTGACGACCAGAAGTGCATCGATGAATGGGGTTTGAAACCCCAAAGTACATCGATGAATGAGGTATGAAAGACAAAAGTGCATCGATGAATGGGGTGTGAAACCCAGAAGTGCATCGATGAATGGGTATGAAACCCAAAGTGCATCGATGAATAGGGTATGAAACTTAAAAGTGCATCGATGAATGGGCTTTGAAACCCAAAAGTGCATCGATGAATGTGGTTTGAAACCCAAAAGTGCATCGATGAATGGGTTTTGAAACCCCAAAGTGCATCGATGAATGAGGTATGAAACCTAAAAGTGCATCGATGAATGGGCTTTGAAAACCAAGAGTGCGTCGATGAATGAGGTTTGAAATCCTGAAGTACATCCACTGATGAATGAGGTTTGATACCCAAAAGTGCATCGATGAATCAGGTGTGAGGCCTGAAAAGTCCAAATGTTGTCCACCTCTTGTTTGATGGCTTCCCAGCCAAAGTTGAAAGGGCTTCCCAGCCCAAATGTTGTTTGATGGCTTCCCAGCCAAAGTTGAAAGGGCTTCCCAGCCCAAATGTTGTTTGATGGCTTCCCAGCCAAAGTTTAAAGGACTTCCCAGCCCAAATGTTGTTTGATGGCTTCCCAGCCAAAGTTTAAAGGACTTCCCAGCCCAAATGTTGTTTGATGGCTTCCCAGCCAAAGTTGAAAGGGCTTCCCAGCCCAAATGTTGTTTGATGGCTTCCCAGCCAAAGTTTAAAGGACTTCCCAGCCCAAATGTTGTTTGATGGCTTCCCAGCCAAAGTTTAAAGGACTTCCCAGCCCAAATGTTGTTTGATGGCTTCCCAGCCAAAGTTTAAAGGACTTCCCAGCCCAAATGTTGTTTGATGGCTTCCCAGCCAAAGTTTAAAGGACTTCCCAGCCCAAATGTTGTTTGATGGCTTCCCAGCCAAAGTTTAAAGGACTTCCCAGCCCAAATGTTTTTTGATGGCTTCCCAGCCAAAGTTTAAAGGACTTCCCAGCCCAAATGTTGTTTGATGGCTTCCCAGCCAAAGTTTAAAGGACTTCCCAGCCCAAATGTTGTTTGATGGCTTCCCAGCCAAAGTTTAAAGGACTTCCCAGCCCAAATGTTGTTTGATGGCTTCCCAGCCAAAGTTTAAAGGATTTCCCAGCCCAAATGTTGTTTGATGGCTTCCCAGCCAAAGTTGAAAGGGCTTCCCAGCCCAAATGTTGTTTGATGGCTTCCCAGCCAAAGTTGAAAGGGCTTCCCAGCCCAAATGTTGTTTGATGGCTTCCCAGCCAAAGTTGAAAGGGCTTCCCAGCCCAAATGTTGTTTGATGGCTTCCCAGCCAAGGTTTCAACGACTTCCCAGGCACCTGAGCCACGAAGCCATTGTGAGATGGGGCTCAGACCTTAGATTCTCCAGCCCCTGTGGATCGAAAGTGCAGACACCACTTGACATGAACTCATCAATGTTTGGCACCCCTTTTTTTCCGCATGTGGCATGGAGACACACATCGTTCTCATCACATGCCATGCTCCAAGCGACAGCACCCTTTTGGAAACTATACTTCGACTAGAGTTTCAGATATGGATCAAACTTATGAAGTCGATGATCAATGGATTGTATTTAGATAGAAATGGCCTGTCACTTGAAGTCAGCCTCACCTCCGTGAGAACACTGCCTTCAAAGGCATGGCTGGGGCAATCGAATCCACAATGGATTGGTGGAGATGAAACTGGGGCTGCCCAATCAGTGGCTGCCCTGCTTGGTCATGCCAAGGCAATGGAGCAATGGATGCTTGAGTCCAGAACCGGTTGGCCGCCAAGTCCTGAGGAAGACTGACAAGTGACATGCCAGCCAGGGTTGTTGAAGAAGAACAGGTTCAAAACGTGTATGTTTAATGAATATTGCATATTTATATAAATATATATATATATATATTCTTAGCATATTTGTTTCGTTTTGGTTTTACTGGGTAAGGTTCATCTATACCCCATTTTGGCTCAAGTAAGCATTCATCTCACTTTTGCTTACAATTGGAATACCACCTGGTCTTACTGCTAATTGACGATTGGGAAGTAAGCAATATCAAACAAAACAATCCTCAGTGGAGCAGCATGGCATGGTTTGAACACACTGTCCTTGAGATATTGGACACACCGTGAATATGGTTGCCCATAGGCAGCATGAATGGCGCTTGCCAATTGCAAACATTGATCTCTGAAGGCATCTGTATGGTTGTTTTGGTGCCTTCAGGGATCGAAAAACGTAATGGTTTGGGAAGACAGGAAGGAAATGGCTTCTAAAAATGGCGAGGGCGTGGTTTGGAAACAAAGTAAAGACATAGTTTGAAAATGAACTAAGATGCAGTCTTAAATACTTGGTGCGAACATTCCAATTAGCTCGAGCAGTGCGATCTTCTGGCAAAACCAGCAGTGGTGGCTGTGAAAGCTGCCCGTCAGATATGTGCCGCTTGACAAGGCAGATGATGTCACCTGCACCTGGACCTCCTCGGAAGCTCCCTGGTTGCACATTGTTGGAGAGCATCTCTGGCAGATCTCAGGGGCCAAAGATTTTCATTATAGTCTCAGGGGCCAAAAACAATTTGAAAGGGTAAACAATTTCAGGGCGATTCAGGGTGTAAAGCTTATATTTGGTCGATTTGTTCAGGGCGTAAAGATGTGTAAAGTTTATATGTGGCTTTCCCCAACCAGCCTTTTCTTTGCAAAAACAAGAAGACATGGTTGGCAGAGACATCTTCCAGCAAACCACCTTTGAGAGAAACCCCTTGTGTTTTCCACATGGACTTCCAGTCTCGGCACGCGTCCAGCTTCTGCACATGCAGTTCAGTGGTGCTGCCTAACCATGCCCGAACACCAGGGCGGCTCAGCTCCTCCTTGATGATGTTGATTGTGTCTTCAGCATGAAGGATGGAGTCACAGTTGCTGATGCGACGTGCTAAAACTCCCCATAGCTGATCTATGCGATCATGGGTGTGTGATTTCCGCAAAAAGAAGGCCCCAAAGAGCCGCATCTTCCTTTTTCCAATGATGTTCATCATGTAGTCGAAGCAATACTGGTTTTTGAGTTCCCGAACAGTGTTATCTCCAAAAATGATTGCCTTGCTGGGCATGCTGACACCACGTTTTTGACAGATAGATGCAACACGCTCCAATCCTTGCCCGATAATTTCCACAACGGCAGTGCTGTCATGACGGGTGGGTTCGTCCATGACATGCAGCTCAAGGGAATACCCTGATCAGGGCCCAACCCAACATTGTTTTGCAAGAAGGGGTTTTTGGTCCAAAATGTCCAAAACTTAAGTCTAGCCGAGGCTCCAAAGATCCAGAGGCCATGAAGCTTCAAGTTCGGCCTGACATATGACGCCAGGCTCGCTGTGGCCCGCAGTTTCGGGTCTCTGGGAAGCTTGAATTTTGCTTGGTCCGTGCCATCGATTTGCATGATTACAACATCACTCATAGGGTCCAGGGAAAGCTGTTGAAGCATCCAACAAATAGACCTGTCAGCATACTGCGAAGCGAGGTGCTTCCGGTACTCCACCAAAGCTCCAAGCTTAGCCTCCATCGTTGGGGCATTTGCTATGGCGTCCTTGAAGTGAAAGCATAGTTCACACTGCGTGAACCTGAATCGTCAAAGAACCATGAAACTGGTTCAGTTTGATGATGGATTAAACCTTTTCCAACTTTGATGCCCAGTTTCAGGGGCTCAGGGGTTTGAACACATCATGGTATGAAACCAAAAAAATATGATCAGGAATCCAAGTAGCATGCTCCGTTGTCGGAACTTCAAGATGTCCTGCCACCGGGTCTGATAGACACGAAGGAAAGTCGTATACCTTAGAGGGTGTGAGGGTGAAGGGGAGAAACAAAACTAAGGACAAACATATTTTTTCCAAAGTGGGATCAAAAAAGGCAAAACGGGAAAAATTGAAATGAATTGGCGACAGAGTTACGACACAGCGGTCGCCCCATAGAGCTGTCGCGTCGCCTGATAATGGGTAAAAAGGTCAGTCACTGTCCCAGGCGCCAAGAACTTGGTGACCTTCTTGCTGTCAGGCTGGAAAGCCTCCCAAATTGGCCCCTTCCCTGGGTCGTCCAGCCAATCACGCAGGGCGTCGACTTCCCCCTCATCACCAGACACATCAAAGTCAGGGTCATCTTTTGAAGCTGCCCGCCCCCGGCGCACAAACCTAAGCATTCAGCAAAACAGCCAAAGGGCGCCAAAAATTGAACCCCTTTGCACGGCATTTAAGTTTGAAGTCAAGTGGCCGATCTGGAAGGGTTTCTGCAACATTGTTGTACAGCATGGAAAGAAAGGCATCCACACTGAAGGTGTTTTCGTGACTGCCGCTCTTGTCCTTGCCCACTCTGAGGTCTGGGACCATGTTGAAAGCTTTGCGTAAACGGTTCACGCCAATCCCCAGCAGAGCACAGAGGCATTCACGCCCCACTCGCTCACCACAGTAAGTGAAGTTTGGCCGGGCATCATGTCCATCTGCGCCAAAGACCATGTGCAACTTAGTAGTTGTGAGGGTCAGTAGCAGTCGAAAGGGTACCAAGCTCTGGTGAGTAACCAAAGCCAATTTAGGGCAAATCCCTCAACTTAAAGCCTAGCATCGAAACTATCTTGCTCAGATTTCTCAAGGTTCCACAGTTCACGCAGGAATTTGACCGAATCCACTGAATCGGATCGTTCGAAGCAAGTTTTCAAAGCACCTCAGATCAGTCACACACCAAGTATGTTATAAATATTTTGTCGTTCAACTGAAGCCTCTAGCATGCACACATGATGCATGCACAGAATGATAAACAGAAGGCTTGATAAACTTACATACCGGGATACATTTGCAACGTGGTTGAGCCTTCAGATCTTTCAGTCTAGCAGGATTCAAAGCTATGTCCTTGTAGCTAGTCTTCTCAGCCGGAGCAGCATTTTGAGAGCGCTTGGTGTTGTCATATGGCCTCTTTGACGGCGTTGACTTAGTCAACTCCACAGTCTTCTTCAGAAATGTTGCATTCGCAAACAACTGCATAGTTGTCCAGTCAACATGAACTGTTTGAGGCCGCCGCAAAGAGCTGTTTGCTGAAGCAGAACCATGAGGCCCACCGGTCTCTGCTGGCTCAGCCCCAAACAGTGAGGGGACTGACGCCTGCAAGGTCTTGCTCACCTTGGCTGACCTTTTTTGTGAGACTTCTTCAGGTTCATCTCCAAAAACAGATCTTTTTTTGACAGGTTGACAAGGTTCAACGGCTTCATCTGGTTCGTCTTGGAATAACAGAACCATAGAACCATGGCGTCATGCCTGCTTCGTTTGTACAGCTTATGTTTTTGATTTTCATTAGGTGTACATATATATATATACACATATGCTTATTTACACATGGGTAAACAGAAGTATATACCTACATACATATATATATATAAATATAAAATAGTTGTTTATTTATGCATGCATGGGTCGGTACATACTATTATGAAGACACGTAAGAAAATCCATATGATGGATAGCGTTTGAAAGCCTTGATTTTCCCAGAGTTCAAATCTCGAGAGGAAAACAAGATTCCAGTTGCCAATCCCATGTGACAATATGTGACAATGTCAACATGAAAGTGTCATTGTCATCAAGGTTTTGGTTTCATAGTTGTTTTCTGTGTACATGGTTTGAAGAATTTTTCAAACATCCTTGATTTCCCCAAAGCTGCGTAGGCAACCATGGTTGACACATCACTGTTGCAACGCTGTCTGGCACCCAGAGTTGCACTGTTGATTGCGCAGAAGTTTCATCTTGTTTTTTCATCCCCTGTCGCGCCCATCAAGTTAACCAGTGACCCTATTTAGTAGGGCTCAGACACATCATCGCTATGAAACAACAAAAAGCTGCGCTGCCCAAGTGCATGCCGTTGCCTGCCATGCGGGTGATAGCTGACTCAGACATCCCTGTGAGGGGCCTCACATCCTTAGAAGCAACATCAAGTGAAGAGTTCTCACATTTCAATCTCAACAGTCAACAGCATACTATCTGAAAACGACACATCGATGCAATGATGATGACAAGATGAGTTCATATATGCCAGGGCTAGCATCAGTTCCCAAATCATTGGCCATGCGTGGAAAGCATGGATAGCCAAGCGTGGAAAGCAGCTCCCTGGCTGTCATGAAGCGCTGCTTGCCACATAGCCTGGGCCAGCAGGGGTAGCAAGGCAACGAGAACAACCAGCACAACACATTCCTGTACGTCACATTGCAACAACCATTTCTTATCTTACAATAAGCTGAGCTACCAGAGATGGGAGCTTGTTGTCAAAGTGCAAAGAGCCCCGTCAACAGTTTCAGTGCGTTGTCGGTGGTCAGGGTTCTGACTCAAATCATAAACCTCTTTGTCAGGTGCATGTTGTCTATATGCATCATAAAAGCGCATGGCTGACTCACTCTCGATATGTTCAGGACAAAGCCTGTGCTCAACAGCAAAAATAGTTGGAGGCAACTTCAATGGCCCACGCATTGGAAGCAGCAAGATGTCACTGAGCTCTTCAAAGGAGTAGTAGCTGTTCCAGAACATGTATCGGCGATTGTACAAGATCCGCCACCAGCGGTCACGGCTCGAAGGTTCCCCAAAACGACGCGGTGAAAGCCTTCGCAAAACTCTCGTTGCTGCACAAGAACCCCACCAAGTGAGTCCAAGTGAAATACTTGACTACTATGTGTAGCCAAGTTGCTTTGACTTTTCAAGGGCATACCCAGTTTCGGTGAGCAGATAGTCATCCTCGCGATCAGCCACAACAAGCTTCAGACTACGTTCTACAAGTCAATCACATCAAATTACACATTGCCAAGCAGAACAGCATACCGAAAAAACATCAAGTCCTCTTCATACTCCAAGACATTTTCATGAACGCTGAGCTTCGTTTCATTGATGACACGTGTCCCCACATCATGGGTTTTCTTCAGCATCTCATTTGTGAATCCATCCTGTAGGCCCATCCTGACCACATTACATGCAAACCCCAGGCCCTGGGACAGCAGCGCAAACAGCGCAATTAGTCACAGTCCGGCAACTCAGTTAGGGCAAGTCAAGGCTCTTGCTGTGGGAAGTGCATGGTGCTCCCAGACAAGCAACATTGTCGGGGTCTCGTGGAAGCAACCTGCACCTGTTAGGCAACCCAACAGCTTGATGTGCAAGCATGGCATATCTAACCAATAACGGCATGTTCTTTCATAACTAAATAGGCAAGGCACATGTCGCGATTTTCTTGATGCTCTTTGTTGCAGCATTTGAACGAATCAACCAGCCGAAGTTCACGTGGTGACCATACCTTGCCTTTTGGCCAATTTTCCAACATGTCAAAAACGTTGTCCATCAAGCATGCATTGGGAAAGTGTTCTGAGAGGACTGCCCGGCATTGGCGGCTCTTTTCCACCTTAGACAGTGACATGTGACAGGTGACATGTGACATGTGACAGGACACAACACACCTTCAGCTCTAGATCAGCTAGGTGTGCTTATTGCGCGGATGAGGATCCATCAAGCAATGTTGAATATCCAAATCAATGGAGAATCGATATGCCACTGCATGCTTCAAGATCAGCAAAGCTTCTCCGAGGCATTCAATTCCACTGTAGAGGCTGTGGACTTTCCAACAAACAGAGCCTGATGAAAGGCTCAAAATCAGAAATAACAGAAAGAAAAATCACATAAGAGAGAACTGACACAAGAAGACGACTAGAAGTTATAGATTGAACCAAGATTCTAAGCTGTTCTCGAACAGCTCCCTCACCCCATAGAACACATGCTCGGTCCAGCAAGACATGGGGCCACTGATTCACATCCCTGAGGCATGTGGGAATTGGATATGGTGGCCTCAGCGGCAAGGCAAGGACATGCAGCTGGGAAACGAGGTTTATTCGATGATCTTTTCAACATTTCACACACATCGTCAGAGATTTCAGCTGCCTGTCACTGAAATTTGTCCAAGCCACAGTTCAGGCAACATAACTGCCATGTCTTCTTCCATGGATGCAGCGCCCCGTTTCCTATTAGGCATGATGTTAATTTCGTGATTTCGCCTGAAAGCTACCTGAATCATTATGGTGATGCCCAGTGGATTCAATTGATTCTGAAATATGTGTGCATGCAACCTTTTCAGTCTCCAAAAGAATAATCATCCATATCAACATGCAGTGGTTAAAAAATGGCAAGCTAGCATCACCATGTTTTGTTTCTGAAGTGAGAAAGCCAGTGCTGAAACACTAATCAGACCCAGTGAAGATGAATTTCAAGGATCATGTGCTGAAGTGTTCAATTGTTTCAGGTTTGAAGTTTGTAGGCCACTTCAGGTTCAGACAGGTTGTCGACATAGACCTGACGAATGATGATTGGTCAAGATGAACCTGCTGAAAATTGATGTGACGCTATTTGACCATTGTGTCACTGAAGGAACTCCATGTTGAATGTCTGATCACTCTGAGCAGTGAACTGCTGGCATAGGTCTGAACTTGTCCTCGAGAACACACCTGGCAGGACGGCGAATGTGATCTGGGTCTGTTTGGGACACACTTCAATCATTTGCATTAGTTGATGTACCTAAACAAAGCAGACATGCACTGGCGAAAACTATCAAAAATAAATGCGTAAAACTGGAAGTAGTATACACATATAACCATCAGATATGGAAATATATTTCTAAGCATACGCGCGGCATTAAATGCATTGATTGCTATGTGGTCTGGCCTTCCACACGCTGGCTGGGCTCAACCTCCGACATGAAACAATGCAAGCATAAGCCAATGTGAGTCCACAAGCAAACGTACCTTTGTGAGTCCACTTGATTCAATCATCTCCCATTGCATTCAGATCAGTGAGTGGTCCACAGCGCTTGCCTTTTTCATTTTTTGCAGTGTTGTTGCACTGAGCAACGCAAGTCTAAGGCCAAGAAGCTATAAATTTCATCTTCCCAGACTAACGATTAAATGGAAAAATTCTTCCCAGACATTGTCACAGCCACCAGCTTTGGATCCAGAGGGCATCCGAATCATGCCAAATTATTTTTTTGAACAAATGACACATAGCAGCAATTAGGCAGACTTAGCCAGGAACTTCCGCCGACTTAACTTACCACTGCTTACTTTTCCTCCGGGTCCAAGATCAAAGTGATCCGGCGCTTCTTGGCCGCAGGATCTATCTCTAACCTCACCACAGTCTTCTGGTTCTCAATGGGAGGCACCGTCTCACACGGAGTTGGGCCTGATAGACGATTGCAGTGTTTTGCATTTTACATTCAAGCATGTCTGACTGACATGGCGCACTCATTTGTGAATTTCATTTTGTCTCACTGAAGTAACACTCACAATGCTTTGTCCTTTCATTCAGCAACATAATTTTTAGCAACATAATGATGCAGCAATATGCAGCAACATAATTTGAGACCAGGCACTGGTTGAACCTGATGAATCCAGCGCATCACCAGGCCAGGCACAAGTGCCATCATCATCGGCGACTGCGTCGATCACGGTGTCAGTGGGGATGCATGGGGATGCCATGAGTCAGTCCTGCAAAGATAATGAAACTTAACTTCAATGAATTTCTGGCCTGGGAAGGTGTATTCCTTCCATGAAGTCTCGCTCACTGGCTCATCCACGACGACGTCATCATGGGTAGGCGAGGACATCGAAGTCATCACCCTGGTGCCTGCGGGAAAGCTGGGGCGATATTTGTGTTCCAAAGACACATGTCCAGATAACAAACAGCAAACTGCAGAAATAGCACAACAGTCATAGTTAGTACATTGTGCCTGGGTTGGCTGTTCCAACCACACCAGCATCCGCATACAGATGGACATGGCCATTGAAATTGAAACCATTCATCATCTTCAGGAGTCGGTGGTGGATGTTCGGGCCAGCGGCTGGTGCTGCAGTGGTCAAATGTTTAGCAACCAATGACCATGGAATGTGTTGCATTCTCACTGGTTCTGTTTGTGAAAACTGTCAGAAGGAAACATTTGAGACATCATGATCTTGTGCACCCAACGAAGTCATGATCAGCGAAGCAGCAGCGCAAGCATTCGAAGATGAAGGCGTGAGACCTGCCAAGAATGTTCGATTTTTGGATGGCCAGCCATTGAAACATGCATTCACTGTTTTGCACCTGGTATGTACTGAAGCCCATTTTTCCCTACACATTGTGACACGCACCGACGCCTGATGTTGACCCTGTGACCCCATAAGCTGCCCAGCCCATAATCGGAAAAGGTATCCCACCCTATTTTTTCTGGCTTCCCAGCCCAAATGTTGTTTGATGGCTTCCCAGCCAAAGTTTAAAGGACTTCCCAGCCCAAATGTTGTTTGATGGCTTCCCAGCCAAAGTTTAAAGGACTTCCCAGCCCAAATGTTGTTTGATGGCTTCCCAGCCAAAGTTGAAAGGGCTTCCCAGCCCAAATGTTGTTTCATGGCTTCCCAGCCAGAGTTTAAAGGACTTCCCAGCCCAAATGTTGTTTCATGGCTTCCCAGCCAGAGTTTAAAGGACTTCCCAGCCCAAATGTTGTTTGATGGCTTCCCAGCCAAAGTTTAAAGGACTTCCCAGCCCAAATGTTGTTCGATGGCTTCCCAGCCAAAGTTTAAAAGACTTCCCAGCCCAAATGTTGTTTGATGGCTTCCCAGCCAAAGTTTAAAGGACTTCCCAGCCCAAATGTTTTTTGATGGCTTCCCAGCCAAAGTTTAAAGGACTTCCCAGCCCAAATGTTGTTTGATGGCTTCCCAGCCAAAGTTTAAAGGACTTCCCAGCCCAAATGTTGTTTGGTGGCTTCCCAGCCAAAGTTTATAAAGGACTTCCCAGCCCACATGTTGTTTGATGGCTTCCCAGCCAAAGTTTTTTAATACCTTCCCAGTTTCAATACTTGTAAAAAACTGTCCAGCCCAAAGTGTTTAAGCAGCTTCCTGGCTAATAGTTTAAAGCAAGAGGGTTTCCCAGCCTAATCAAATTTTGCAAAGTTTTCCAGCCAGTATTTTCACCCAGGGGGCCCTAGCCTGAATATATGAAAGCAAATTTTACTAGGTGTCCTATGTACAAAGTTTGCTTGACCTTTGAAATTTGCAAGTTTGCCTTTAATAAGTTTTCACCAAACAAAAAAAGTGATGTTTGTCCTGTCATGTGTGTACAGTACTGTGCCATCACTTATACGCTGATTTTTTTTTGTGTAACACAATAAATTCCACCGGGAACCAATGTCTAAAGAATGGTCACCAACCAAACACACTACTACATTGGTGAAACTTTCATTAGGCCTCCCTAACATGGAGCACCTGGGAGAAACCTGGAAACATTGCCGCGGGTACCCATAGCAGCAATGCTCCAGGTTTCATTGCCAGGCTTGCCCAGAGCAGGCGCTTTAGCCCATATGCCCTGCTCTCATACACCGCCTGCTTTATTACTACAGGACAGTGCGTTGGCCCCAAGGGCAGGCTCCGCCCCACACATGGCCAGTGGTGTAATCCCTTCGAGGGGATTAGGTAGGGCGAAGTCAAAGTATCATGACCATAAAACAGATGTTAAGAGGTTTTGGACCCACCACATTCCATCCACATAGCTCCAATATCCATCCAGATACAACGAATGATACTTAATGATGAATGGCATGTCGCTTCACCCTTAACCAAAGGGTGCTCCCATAGGGCGTCAAATTTCCATACCCCCTTTCGACATGACATCTCATCCACTCACATCACTGCCAGGTACGGATACCAATCAAATATCCGCAGAAAAATGTTCACGTTCCAGATCATATCCATGATCAAAAGATATCCAAAGAAGCACACGTCTTCCAAAACACAAGGTAGATGATAAAACATCATCCAAAACTCATCTCGTTCGACTCATGCATAATGTCGTAACTTCCAAATTCAAATCTTCTCTGTTGCGAAAACCAGATGTAGGAATACCAGACTCAGTCCAAAGACTCCTAAAGTCTTTCCAGTACTAAACTCGTCTTCCAAAATCCAGTTCCTCGGATAAACCATGGCGTCGATAACGATATATCTACAGTGCTGTTGTCTTCCTACAACAAACAAAGCAACCACAACAGAACAAAACAAAACAAACACACACACACACGAGACCCAAGACGAAACCTAACGTCACACAATCGGAGTCAACACGAAAACAAAGGCCAACTGTTTCAGCTAATCCGCACCTTCGTGAAGAAGGTAGGCGTATGAAAAGAAAACGCAAGTGAAATGATATCACGCATGCAACTCATCTCAAATTCAAAGCAAGTGAAGTACAGCTCGCAGTCACTGCACAACAAATTCAAAATGTTCTGAATGAAAATCTTTCACAGTCAGGGTCAGGACTAGCTAAGATTGGCACAGAATGAGGAAGCGGTGAGAGACGTTCTAAGACAGAACAGCTCTCACAGTTTCATCATCGCATAGATCGCCGTCCCCCTTTCAACGTCTGATCCATCCTAACGATCTCGGAGGTGTGATATGTCTTGTTTGAGTCTATATCATGACATGACAGTGCCATGTGTCTGCAATCATGGCGTCAGATTCCCCGGAAGATTTTTCCGATTACTTAGACTCAGATTCCGTCTGAGTTTCTTCCCAGGTTCTCATCATGTGCCATGACAACTCAATTATACCAAATGTTTATGAAAACACTCACAACATCAAGTTCCATGTTTCAAGCAACAAAACTCAAGACATGCACACAACAACTCAAACATGAGAAATACCGCAATCAAGCCAATCAAGAACAACTTCAACCTTTCTTCATGATGTCTCCCTCAGATCTGTCAGCAACTCCAAGTTCTGAATGCCTTCACGAACGTTGCTCTCGCCATCGTCATTGAGAGACATATGACAACAAAACGAACTTCAAACAACTAACAAAACAACGTGCAAACAAAATTGTGTCTACTGCGTCAATCAGCGTGTCTTGCCCCCTTTTAAACTCAAGCTTGGTATCTGTGCTCAGCCATATCGTCCTTTCTGAAAACAACAAGTGAACCTCGAGTTGACAAAATCAACTATTCTCTTGTTGCCACACCAGGCGAATTCCGGTGCCTTTGGCACTCTGCTCAGGTATGAACATCAGGGGTATACCCTACGGTATTCTCGTGTCCCCTGTATTTGAATATACCCTAAAGGGGAGAACGCCGCCGTCCCTGTCATTGGGTCATGACGTGCAGTTGGTGAAACACACCTAATACGACCCGTGACCTCTTCGATCACTTGACAAGGTGGGGATTTAATATCCTTCACTTCGAGAGCCAGGGGATAGCTCATTTGTAATTCCCCCATCTTTGCCGGGCTGTAGCCCACGAACTTCGCCATCGGCAACGTTGGCGGCGATGGCATCATAGGTCTCGGTGGCACTGCCGGTGGAGGCGGGAGGGGGCCAGAGCTCAAACTCACACCAGGCGCCGGCGTCATCGGTGCCGCTGGTGGGCTACTCTGCGACATGCCAGGATGTCCCATGGGTGGCTGCAGAGGATCGTATGCTGGAGCTCCCTCTGTCGGTGTCCCCTTTTCAATCCTCTCAGCAACCAATTTCATATTTTCTTGTAGCTTGTCCATCGATTCGAAAAGCTGGGTCATCAAATCCTGCAAAGCTTGGTCGCGTTCCGTGCGGCCTTTGTTGTTTTTCTTGAGCACGTCTGCCATAGAGACATCCAGTGCCCACTCCAGGTGCTTTTTCAATTTGTTATATTCACCAACGACCGCACCCACGCGGCTGGTGTTGTGGTTCACACCAGCAGCCAATGATTCTGATGCCCTTGCCATGTTGTTGACTGCCGCTCCCACGGCCTCTAGGCTACGGCAAAGGTCCTGCTGAAGAGTATGCGTACTCTTGATAAGGGTCTCAAGCTTGTCCGTCGAACCCTTCAGCGCAGCGACCATCGAAGTGATTCCCACAGCCAAGCCCGTGGTAGAGTTCAACAGGTCTGTTGCATCATTGTGGTCAGATGCTTCCTGCATCCTCAATCTTGGAGATCTCGATCTGTCATCATCTCTTCCAGCATCTCTTTCCTCCTTGTCTTCCTTGTCATCTCCATGCATATGAGCAGTGTCCTGCTCTCCCTCTTTCTCTGAATCCGTCTCAGCAGTTCCTGTCTGTGCCGTCAGCGCTGGATTCTCAGACACGGGAAATTCTCCCTCTGCCGCTGGAGCTGCTGGGACTGCTGGAGCTGGCACGTTCGCTGCCATGAATTGTTCGAGTCTCCTAGACAAGGCCTGATGCACTCGCTGGGATAAGCCGGGGCCCAAATACAGCTTGGGCATAATCTGCAATTCAACTTGACGATCCATCTACTGACCATGCAGGTTACAACTCAGCCATTTCATGCCATGCCAAGCACAAACTCTCTCTTATTCATCCTAAGGTGCGTGCCGCACACCTTAACAGATGAATCACACTTCCGCCAAAGATCACACTCACTACTACCCCAAGATGCGTGCCGCACATCTTGACAGGTAATATGTGATCGACCAAACTTCAATGTCTCAGACAAAACAAAAATAATACAAACTCGTGGCAACCGCAAACTCAATCCAAATCCAACTGCCAATGCATGCACAACCCTTCACAAAACTGCAAAACAGATCACAGTGGTTTCCGCGCGTATAAAACCCATAGACATGTCATGCAGCAAAAATGAAAACTCATGCAAAGCTCGTGACA